TTCTGACTACTTTCAGAAACCTCGCAGAAGATCTGGACCCCCTTAAGTTGTTCTCTGTCCTTAGCACACCTGCTGTGCGATTTCCAAGATGATCCTTTCCTTCAATTTGCCAATTTCGACATTCAAGCTAACAGCGAGTTCACTGCTAGCTCGAGGATCCGTGAGTGTCCACCTTCGATAACGATAAGAAGTGACGTATCGCGAGCTAGCCGACCGCTCTGCTCCACCAAGACAGTTTCTCCCCGCTGCCTCTGCACAACGGGAACAATGTCGAGCAAAGCGGCATTGAAAGCCGTGCGAGCAGCTTTGGAATCGAAAGATTACCAAGCCGCTGCTGAAAAAGCCAAGGAGATTGTCAAGAATGAGTCCACAAATTACCATGCGTATGACAATTTCTGATTTTGTATGGGACATGGCTGACTCGTTGTTTTTTTTTTAGGAATGTCTTTCTCGGCCTCGCCAGCGATCGATTGAATAGGAACAATGACGCTGAGAATGCCTATTCTGCTGCGACCGATATCAATCCCAACGATAAAACTGCGTGGCAGGGCTTGATCTCTCTGTACGAGAAGCAGGGTGGCTGTAACCACGATGGTTATCATAAGGCAGTCATTGCTCTTGGAAAGATATTTGCCGACAAGTATGCTTTGGTTCCTTTGTAATTTTCGTGTGCAAAGAACATAGTGCTGATGACTTTTAGCGACGAGAAGGAACGCTGCCAAGATCTGATTAACAAATACACCAAGACGATGAAGAATAAGGGGACCTCGGCTCAACACAAGCATGCATTGGAGCTCCAGATACCGGGTTCACCTCTGTACGACTTCCTTGAGGGCCGGTTGCCTCGTCCATCCCAAACATACCAGCGATTGATTGAAATCACCGAGCGCCAGGAAAGAGAATTTATCAATCGTGAGATTGGAGAGCGCCGAACGCGTCTTGGTGCTCGTATCGAACAAGTAACCCAGGAAGTTCGCCGGGAAGCTGCCAACAAGAGTCGTTTGGATCAATTTTACCAAGGAATGATTGATTGGACCAACGATGATACGGTACGCCGCCAATACGAGGAAAAATTATTTCAGCGTGCATATGAAGAGCTCGGAGTTCTGCCTGACGCCGAGAAGGAGGCGAAGAGAGCGGCAGTTTTTAAGGCTGCACACGACATGGTGATCATCAAACATCCGTTCGAGCCCGCGTGGAAGGTTTTCCTGGGATGGCTGGATGTCCAGGAACTTTCCCAGTACGATGTGGGGCATTTGCGCGAGTACATTGAGTTCTTCCCAGAATCTGGTCTCTCCCAGGTTCTCAAAGGATTCTTGTTGAGCGAACTATCGCCATTTCCCCATGACCCCTCGGACGAAACTAACGGCAAGGATAGTAATGATAGCAAGGAAACTTCAGCTACTCAGCCCGATAACGAAATTGATGACGCTAAAGCTACTCCTCAAGACCCTCTCGTCCTCATGGTCGAGGGCTTAGATTCCGCTCGAGATTCAATTCTTGCCCACCGCATCATGGCAGATGTCTACCTCTCTTTCGAAGAGTATGAGAGCGTGGTCAATGTTGCTCGCAAGGGGTTGCTGTACATTGAAAATTTGGTAAGATACAGTGGGATCAAGATCCCCAACACTGTTGATGCCCTGAAAAACGCACTTGCCAATGCCATGATCCATTACCAATCCCCGCGGCATCACACGGATGCGAAAAGAATATTTGAGGGTATCCTCGAACGGAACCCAACCTCCTCCAATTGTCTACTCGGGATCGGTTTGATTTTAAAGGAGGATCAGGACTATGCAGAAGCTGTCAACTTCCTGCGGCGATCCCTTGAACGCGATTCTGCTAACCTTAAGATTCGTGGAGAGCTTGCTTGGTGTGAGGCATTGAGCGGCGATCTTGAAGGTGGCTTAAAGAGTCTTCAAGCTACGCTTGAGGACTTGAAAGAAGCTCAACCGGACAACAGAGAGTTCAAATCTGAGCTTTTTTACCGCATTGGTTACTGCCAGTGGGAGCTTGATCCGTCCCCAGCTGCGCGCAAAGATCGCAGTGGTGCTTATGCTAGTCTCTTTGCTTCCATCCAGGCGAATATGAACTTCGCTCCAGCATACACGATCCTTGGTTTCTACTACGCAGACTACAAGAAGGATAAGGTCAGAGCTCGTAGATGCTTCCACAAAGCATTTGAATTGTCGACCTCTGAGATTGAAGCTGCAGAGCGTCTTGCCAAGGGCTTTGCCGACTCGAAGGAATGGGACCTTGTCGAAGCAATTGCGCAGCGGGTGGTTGACTCCGGCAAGGCCAGGCCTTCCCCTGGGTCAAAGCGCCGAGGGTTCAGCTGGCCATATGCGGCACTGGGGTCAGTTCAAGTTAACAAACAGCAATACAGCAAAAGTGTTGTGTCCTTCCAAGCGGCGCTTCGACTCGCTCCAACAGATTACCACTCTTGGGTCGGTCTTGCCGAAAGCTATCACCACTCTGGTCGATACAACGCCGCCACCAGGGCCTTTGAGCAAGCGAAATCATTGGAGCCAGAGCTTTCAGCAAAAGACAAGGAACATGTATGGTTCGCAAGGTACATGCTGGCAAACGTCAGGCGCGAGCTTGGCCAGTACGACGACGCCATCGCTGCCTACGAAGATGTCCTGAGATCCCGGCCTGATGATATTGGTGTGACTCTTGCACTTTTGCAGACCCTGACTGAGAGTTCGGCGAAGAGCCTTGGTCTGGGTCTCTTCAATGATGCGGCAGAGCTCGCATACCAAGCTATTTCGGTGGCCAGCTCGCTGGTGCAGATCAAAAGCAACATCTTTAACTTGTGGAAGGCTGTAGGCGATGCCTTCTCCAATTTTTCATACATGAAGGCCAAGGCTGGAAAGCTACCTGCTTCCAGCTGCAAGGCTTTGCTGGCAGTCGATCTCGATCCTATGGCCCTTGATGTCATGACCGATATTGATGGTGTTGGAACTGATTGGCTTGCAGCCAATGAAAGTGAAGAGTTGATTCCATCTGAGCTCTACGTTCGCCTGTCAATAATTGCTTTTAAGCGTGCACTCCACGTTTCCGTGCATGATGCCCATTCTCAAGCAGTTGCCTGGTACAACCTTGGCTGGGCTGAATATTTAACCCATCGCACTGTGCATCCAGACACGACCAAGAAAGGTAAGAAGTCTCGCAAGTTCATCAAAGCAGCCATGCGGTGTTTCAAGAGAGCGATTGAATTGGAGGCCGGCAATGCTGATTTCTGGAACTCATTGGGTATTGTCACCGCAAACATGAGTCCCAAAGTCTCTCAGCATGCCTTTGTACGAAGCTTGCATCTAAATGAACGCAACGCACAAGTCTGGACAAACCTTGGAGCACTCTACCTCCTCCACGGAAAAGGCTACCAAGCATACAAGACCTTCTTGCGGGCACAGGCCACCGACCCAGACTATTCACTGGCTTGGGTCGGCCAAGGCTTCGTTTCACTCGATACTCGCCAGACACAGGAGGCGAGGGGTTATTTCGAGCATGCGTTTGATATCTCAAATTCGTCCGATATTCTCACTAAGCGCCAATTCAGCCTGGCCCACTTTGACCATCTTAATGAGGCCTCCTCCTCTAACGTCTCCGAACTCATTCAACCATTTTTTGCATTGCACCAACTCTGCATCCAGGATCCGTCAAACTTGCCGTTTGTGCACCTTTCCGCCCTGTTGGCAGAGAGAATGGGCGAGACCGCGGATGCCGAGTCTAGCCTGCAGGTTGTCTGTTTAGGCATGGAAGACGAGTTCGAAAAGACCGAGTCACCAGCTTCCCTTTCGAGGTATGCCCAAGCAAACGCAGATATGGCTCGTGTCCTGCTTGCACGCCATTCTTATGAAGAAGCCGCAGAGAAGGCTGAGCTCGCACTCACACTCTCTGGGGAGGAAGACGCGGAGAATTTTGACCCCGAAGCCTGCAAGAAGCTTCGTCTATCTGCGCATCTGACTGCCGGTCTAGCATTTTACAATCTGAAGTCGATGGACCAAGCCATTGACATGTTCCGCGACGCTCTTGAAGAAGCACAGAATGCTCCAGATGTCGTCTGTCTTCTTGCCCAGGTCCTGTGGGCCAAGGGTGGCGAGGAAAACCGGTCTGTTGCTCGCGAGCAACTGCTCGACTGTGTGATGAATCACTCCAGTCACATCGGAGCAGTCACTCTTTTGGGTGCCATCGCTCTCCTCGATGCGGACCGGGATGCCATTGAAGCAGTTGAATCAGACCTTAACAGCATGATATCGCGTAATGACATCGATCTTCACGACAGAGCTAAAATCATCAAACTTTTGAATGCCATCTCAGCAATGGGACTTAACGACAATGCAACCGTCCCCGAAAGCATCAGGCGCATTGGCGATGCCACTGCTGCCGTGATGCTCACACCCGGCCAATCTGCTGGGTGGATGGAGTTGTCGGCAGCGTCGCGAAATCCATACCCAGCCGCTATGGCTATCAACCGCGCTCTACAGAGCGTGCCTCCTTACAGTAATCTCGGAGCTGAGGATCTCAGCGAAGCCTACGCGCAAACTGGCAAGGTTGGTGACACCTTCCGAGCGATCATGATTGCCCCGTGGAAAAGTTCTGGATGGGAGCAACTGAGCCACATTGTACCTATACGGAACATGTGGACGCGCTGCACTGGCCAAAAATCGGAGGAAATGGATGACGAGAAACCTCTCCTGCCATGGAAGCGCAGTACAGGCCATGGACCGGAGTAACTGGACGGTGGAGTGACTAGTCTGCTACCCTGCCACACATGTGCCGTACAGTGCGAGGGCTGGGTGAATTTGAAGCACAGTGTTTCTAACTTTTCAACTGCACATCAGTCTTTAGCGAATGAACATCACAATATCATACTCGACACAAGAAACGTATACAAAATCGAGTAAGAAAAGTGCAAATCCCATACCCAATCAAGAAGTCCGTAGCAAAAGAAGCCCCTTGTTCAGCTGCTTGAGCGAAAGATGACTTGTCTCTTCTCATTCTCCCTCGATACCTGCAGTCTTCTCCAGTAATCTAGCCTTCCTGCCCTCTCTCCACGGTTTATCCCAAGCCTCAATCTTACCCCCGAGCAGAGTAACAGATCCCGGACAAAGCAGCACCATACCTCTCGCAACAGACGGATTACGGAGCAAGATCTTTGCCCCAATAGCAAGCTTCTCTAACGCTATTCCATCTATCCGCTGCATTTCAACACCCAAAACCGTAGTTCCTGCTGCATCCTGAAGAATCAGGCGGTGCGGGCCATACCCACTGTTCCCGGACGCACTCGCAGCACCATTCGCAGGATTGTTATTTGCACGATTGTTCTCCGATGCCTCGGGGTCCTCGCCTACAGCTATTGTGCGTACGATCTCACGGCCGCGGATTGCCTCGCCGCGCTCAACGCGTTCAATTGCTTCGATCTGGCTCCATAGACTTGTGCCGATATCTTCGATGTCGAGCACTTGCACGGGGATCGAGCCTTGAAGGCGTCGCTCTTGCACTGTCGGGTCGTGGATGTCGACTGGTAGTACGCATGATCTGTGTTTGGAGAGTGATTCTTTGATATCAGAGGCGAGGATACGGAATATCGCCGTCTTTGCGAGGGCAGAGGGGGGAGTGTTGCGTTGTGCTGTGCTGGATGATAGGAAGGCACTGAGCCAGGTTTGGGCGACTGAGAGGGATTTCGTGCTCAAGATCTGAGCTGCAATCTGATCCGGGCTAGTCATGACGCCTTGGACTCCCTCAAGATCACATTGGCGCGTGTGGTAAATCAAAGGAAAGCATCAAAGTTGGGGAAGCTCTCAGCGTGAAAACAAAAAGCACAGACCACCGCTTAAAGCACTTGATCTGGCCCGAATGTCCCACCTCCGACTACTCCGACACATCTCCCCACAACACACTGCAATGTCGGCAATATCATCTCCACGTCCCTCCATTACTTCCTCCCGAGCCCATTCACCGGGTCCAGCCTCCTCCCGCCCATCACTCGATGTCTTGAACACCAGCGCCAGCGGGGGCCTCAGCGCTGCATCTACCCCATCCACCGGACGAGCTCTCTCCCCCTCACTCCATCTCCGACGTAATCGCAGCGCCCTCCGAGACTACTACAACCTTAAACCGCCCGGCGCAGATACGAATGCTTCCCGGGACGCATCTCGCTCCCGGAGTGTGCCGCGGAACACAGATGCAGGAGACACCTCCGACCCAACCGCTCTAGGGTCAGGGACGGAGCTCGATAGTCCAGACTTCGACCCACGACGGTATGTCGAGCATCTATTGTCATCTTCGTCACTGTCTACGGTACTCAAGGCCGAGAACACGTTGGTTGGAGATATCCGCACTCTCGACGGAGAGCGGAAGGCGCTGGTCTACGATAACTACTCGAAGTTGATTCGCGCTGTGGAGACAATTGGTAAAATGCGGCGCAGTATGGATGATCGCGGTGCACCTTTGACTATGACGAAAACGCTAGGTCCGGCTATTGATTTTGTTGCTGATACTGCTGGTGGGCTCATCAAGGAAGGTGAGGAGCAGCGGCGGCGAATGAAAGAAGCGAAGCTGGCAGACGGGGCCTCAAATCAGAAGAGGGAGAAGGATACTGTCCGGTGGGTTCTTGCCGCACCGCAGAGATTGGAGAAGCTTGTGGTAGAGAAAAAACAGGAGGACGCGGAGAAGGACTGGAAAGAGATCCAGCAATTACTCGACGCTTGGGGTAATGTTAAGGGGGTTTCTGAGATTCGAGAAGCGTGTGAGAACGTCATGAACCGGGAAAGCCATGATGACTGAACACCTCCTGATGCGCTCTTTTCTTCGGCCAGATTTCATCGCTGGGAGCTCCCCGTCGAAGTCAACTGCCACTTCTGACTGGAGCGACAGTTGCAGCCATGAATGAGCCGGCTCATTTATGGAAACAAACCGTTGCTGCGCTAAGAAATTATCAATCGGTACCTGCCTCCAGCCCTGGTCCCGAAGAAGCACCCTCGACGATACTACCACTACCCCCCGGCCTCTGGGAATGCCTTGGGCACATAGGCCACCCTGCCACCACTATCCGGATCCATATCAAATATCATAAACATGTAGATAACTGCGTTCAGAGATACCCACTACAGCAGAACATTAATAGTCAATCATATTCTCATCAATCATAAACAAACCCCACCAGGCCATGACTCTACTACCTACTTCCCCTCAAGCAGCTCCCGACTCGAATACATGCTCGCCTTAAGTCCATATTCATTCTTAGAGTTAATCCCCAGATGATTAAACGCATCAGACTTGTAGTAAACAGATCGGGGCCCCTTCCCAACAAGCCCAAAGTCAACTAACTTACTCACCACCCGCTTCACATCCTCAACATCCCCAAAATCTTCCGTATAGACACAAATCAACCGACTCTTCCCACACCCACCATCAGTAGCAGCTTTCGCCGCATCCCCAAGCTCCCCCTTCTCCATTGCCCTCACAACCGTCCCCCAGACCTCATCAACCCGATCATGACTCGGGAAAAGCATCCACTTGCCATGCGTAACACCAGTCTCCCTCGCCAGATCCAGAATGTTCTTCTCAAGCTCCTTTCGCATCGGATTCAATTTCCGCGTCAAAGCCGTCGTAGTCTTCGCACCAGACTTATCATGCGCCTCGCGCAGGGTCGCACTCTCATTCTCGTACTCCTGGAGAAGCTCCCCGCCTTTCCGAAGCAGAGTGGGAACATCCCCATCTTCACTCTGCTTGTACGGCACATGTGGATTGTACATCCAAATCCAGGGGCCTACATCCGTGGTTTCTGTTGTCGAGGGCGGAAGACGCGATAGAAAGCGAGCTATGGGCTCGGTCTTCCCGCGCTGACTGCGTGGCATGGTGCCTGGTTCTGGGGATGCATCATCCATGGAAATGTCTGATGATGCGATCTTTGCGCGTGTCGGCGGCGCGCACAGATGCGGCTGTATGGTTGATAGCAGCTTCTGGTGGGGTTCTACCCAGAATGGCTCTGGGTCGTAGGACGAGACTTGTGCTTCCAGTTGGGTCTTTTCATCCTCGTCGCCTGATATGGGTCAGCCGAGTTATGGGGGCGCGGAGGGCGAGATATGGTTTACCGTAGAAGCTTGACTCATCGGAGAAGATTTCGTCAGCTTTTGTGGGTGATGCCATGGTTTAGGTGGTGGTGAATGATGATTTGATGCTCTGGTGCTTCTTGTTGAGATGTAGTTGGAGATGCGGAGGAAGTAGTGAAGTAGAGGTGGGTGCAATTAACCCGCATTTTAATTTCCCGACTGCACCACCCATCTTTGAAGATCTCAGCGAAATGGAGATGTTTATGAAAAATCAATGTGCTGGTTCTTTCAGCCCACCAACCCTGTTCTACAGGCTTCGGTCGTTGCTACAACATCACAATTATGCAGTGGCTATTCATACTCTCTGAAATCATTCTAACTTCAACTTGTTCACCCTTCTCTCCTGTTTATTGGTCTTGGTTTATTCGGCACCAGTAACACCTGGCCACACCTGGTCTATGAACTTGACCAAGTCTGCTTTCAACTCATCAGGTTGCTCGAGTGCCGCAAAATGACCACCCTGTAGCAAACCAGCGTTATTTTTATGTGTTGACACTCAATTGAACGCAGAATTTCATACCTTCGGGTGCTGCTCCCAGAATACCAAGTCTCCAGTGGTTTCAATCCACGAGCGCGGCAGCGGAGCAAGCTCCTTAGGGAAAGAAGAATATCCAAATGGCTTGTGGATATACCAACGGGGGTCGTTAGGAACCGGAATCGGTGGCGCAGGATAGTTCTACTCTTTCCTATCAGAGACCTTCTCGTGGAAGTCAAAAATCGATGGGCGAAGCCCACCTGCCTGTAAGCATAGATTGCTCGAGGGAACGTTTCCGTAAGCCAGTAAAGGGTGACAGATTCCAAAATGTCTTCTGGGGCAAGCGGATCATCGACCCATTCCAGGTATTTCTCTCCAATCCTGAAGGGGTTAGTTTTGTAGTTCCTGTCAATTGCGCTTTGATTGCCGCAACTAACCATGCTAGTAGAGCCATGGGGTTCGATGACAAAACATGCCCGATGGTGCTGGGTCGAGTGCCATGCTCAGCCGCATAGCCTGAGCCCAGAGCCATAAAGTTCGTCATCCTCTCGATGCCTTTTATCTCAGAGGTATTCAGGTGGTCGTCTGTCATGCCGTCCGGCTTTCTCATGAAAACCACATTGACTATCTTGAATTGGCATTCTGGTTAATGAACGACCTTTATAAAGGAATCACTCACCGTGCACAGCTATACCACAACTTGTTAGAACATTCTCATTCCAGACAGTCGGAATAGCGTGAGCGTTCCATACCTTTGCAGCTCTCATGATCCACGCCCAAGTGTATTGCAATTCGACTGCCAATATCACCTCCCTGGACAACGTACCCGCTCCTAAAGCCGAGCTCTATCATTAGTTGATCTAACACACGGGCAACGTCGCCTGTTCCAAAATTTCTATCCAAGGGAGGCCCAGAAGAGAACGTAAAACCTGGCAATGAAGGTACAATCAAATGGTAAGGCAAGGTTTCCGGTGTGTACTCCTCTCGGAACTTTTGCAGCATAGGCAAGAACTCGAGGAAGCTGCCTTTAACATGATACATCAGTCTCCATGAATTCATTGTACGCACGTTATGGGATCAGGGGGTAAGACATAGACCTACCAGGCCATCCATGCAACAACAAGACAGGAATAGCATTCTTCTTTTCTGAAAATAACCCTACAAAATGAATTGTAAGACTTTCGATCACCGTCGTGTACTGAGGGAAACTATTGATCCGATTTTCCGAGGATTTCCTATTGTCACCTTTCAGTCCTGTGTCCCATATCACGCATTGTGGTACATATACACGATGCGCTGTGGTGTCATTACCAGTGATAAGACCTCAGCCACTGGTCCCGCATGGTCACTAGCCAGTCTGTAGTGACACCATAGCGACGGTCTCTTTGGGAATTTTCGTAGGTGGACGGTGCCAATTTGGCAACCTTAATCAACGTCTCCAGCTCGACCAGTTGGGCTTTGGGGATGACGGCCTTGAAGGGTGTCAGGGAGGCTGTCGCCGCAGAGGGCGGGGTACTGAAGAGCAGCGACATTGCGATGTAACTAGCCCTGATAGTTTTCCTGGATGCTGTGAATGGCATTGAAAACACTTGCAGGAATCTGCGATTAGGCAACCATCATGTGCGGGGTTCCCACGGAAACATCAAGGCAGCCTCGGATGCTTACAAACTCTTGTTCTGGGTTTGGACATTGGTTGAAGCTGAAGGGAGAATTTGTATTAGGCCTTCATCAAACATCTAATCTACACATGTTTGGTACCCGTTTTTCCTTCTACTATAGATGGGTGCAGAATTGTGTCCTTGAAGTGGTTTTTCAACACCAAGGAGAGCAATCCAGTTCGAAATTCTATCTCAGAAAGACATCTGTTTCCATTACAAAGCCCTAGCCATCATGACCAATGTACGCCTTTGATAGTTGTTCGCGAACCCACTATACCCTTGTCAGTCATCGTGCCGGTATCAGAGCCATTCTGCTCTTACCTCGCCTGCTTTGAAGGGCTCTTTACAAGCAGGTCTATCGTCTGAGATATGATTTGGCAGAACTGATACTGTGGTATCATAGTCAACTCCGAAGAAGAAAGGAATGGAATAACGTTCTTGTCCGGTCAAGTTCGTGACACGATGAACAGTCGACTTGAACTTTTGATTCGTCCTAAATCAGTCAGCACGTATTCTCTTGAATCAGTGTGCTAATCTCACCAAATCGACAGACAATCTGCAATGTTGACGACCAATGTCCCCGGCAATGATGGTGCCAATATCCACTCGCCGCTGCGACTCATGAGCTGCAGGCCCGGCACACTGCCCTGGGAGAGAATAGTGAAACATTCGAAATCCTGATATTGGATGAGAAAATCAGAATTTCAGTATATTTGCCAAAAAGTTCAGTCAACTGCGTACCGTATGAGCCCCAAGCCCTTCACGAACCTCTTCCTTTAACGGCTGAGGTGGGTAATGCATCATCCTCGAAGTGACACCTGGGTTCTGAGTCATGGAATCAAAATACTCCTCTGGCAAACCCAAAGCCAGAGCGAACATTCTCATCAGCTTTCGACAGAGCTCTAGCATCATGGCACAATATTCGATGTAGGTCTCTGTGAAATTTGGAAGGATTTCTTGGCCAGGCCATTGATTATCTCCGTACAAATCATACGGATCAAGAGGAAGCGGATCATCCTTCAGCTTTTGAGGATCCATTGCAGTTTCGTATCCGATATCAAATGCTTCGGAAAGGGCACTGACTGCGTCTTCTTCGGCAATAGGAGCATCGTCTGTCCCTATGGATTTCTCACCACCAAGGGGACTGTAGCCGCGGAATTTCTGGTCAAGTCTTAGCATGTCCTGTTGACTGTTCAGGCTTCCAGGCGTACGGGGGAGTTTCCAATGTAGAACTTCATCTTTTGCTCCTCGGGGAGATCGAAGAGCCGCTTGGCGAAGCAGTGTATGCCATTGATTTTGTCCTCTGGAATCCCGTGGTTCTGAACAGGCAGCGTGAGCACACAACGATTCTCGGGAGTATGATCCGAACCAACCTACCTTGATGTAAAAGAAACCAACCTGAGTGCAAGCATCACAGAGTGATTGAGCAAGTTTCTGTCGCTCATTCACATTAGGACTATCCAAAGTTGAAAGATCGATAATCGGAAGGTGATTACAATCAGCGAGCTGCCAGTTCTCAGTCATTAATTCGGTCATTGCTGCGTGGCAGTTCTGAGAGGGATGGAGAACCTGCCGCTTTGTGGCTCGCGGGGTAGAACCCGTTATCTTCACCAACCATGAGTCTCCGATTGCTGTACAACTGCTGTGTCGATTATGATGGGAAGATTGATCTAGGCTCTCTTTGCTCCCTTTCTTTAGAATTAAAGCTTTTTCATTTCCTTTTATATCTCAAATATGCTATAACGCAAATATGGTTCAATCTTTTGAACGTACTCTCATCACGAAACACGATATCTGGGTCTCGTTTCAATGTATGGAATAGATCACCTAAGCCAATATCTTAAACTGGAGCTTCAGGAGCTTCGGATGAGGGCAAGGTATCCAACCAACGCCAGGAAAGCAAGGCCTGGACAAGACAGATTATAGCTACCCCAGGTCAGTCAAGTGGATGATACGTTGGATAGTATGACTCACCCAGTGCCACAGTCATGTAAAAGAAGCCAACCCATTCAAAGAGTGAGCCGGTCAACAGAGGCCCGAACATCATCCCGAGACTAAATCCTACTTCAGTCATGGAAAAGACTCGCAAATTGCTTCTGTTGGCCTCAAATAGATGCGCGTCTTTAGCTTCCATGTCCTTGACAACATCTATATTGAAAAAGAAAGCGAATTTCGTTAGCCGGGGATTGGATACCACAAAACAAAATGGAATTCCTCACAGGCCAGTTGCACGGCTCCTGCACCGCGCACAAGAGGTAGAATGCTACCCAACGCAATCAAACTGCTGGTAAAGATTGACTTGCCAGCGGTATCTTCTCGAGCCCATGGGAAGTGGGAGTCGCCGGGAATCCCTAGAATTAGGATTAAAGGGATCATCGCTAGCCAACCGAAAACGGTAGGTCCCCGTATTCCGATTCGATCACGAAGCCATCCAGATGGGCCGCTGAGAACGATATTCGGGACTTGGAGACAGAAGAACATCATGCTAACGAGTAAACTCTTCCAACCGAATGCTTGTCTTAGGTGAACAGGGAGAGTGTTGTTAATGCCCGACATGAGAGAGGAGACAACGACAACGTTGGCCAACGAAGTCAAAACACGTGGATCAGAGAGCATTATTCTGTAGTACTCATGCTTGAGGTCGTGCTTGGTCTCTTCTCCACAGTCATTCGACTCGATGGTAGACGATGTATCAGACAGCAGAGCAGTCAATTCCTCTGGGCTCCCGTCAGTGCCGAGCACTGACTTGCCCGCAGGTTTGCTCAAAGGGTTGATTTTCTTTGCTCCGAGGCCCGGCTCAATCATAACCAGGCGGGCAACTATATCCAAGACCAGTACTACCAATGGCAGTGACCAGGCGGCCCAGTAGCCAAATACCTGGAGAATTGCGCCACTCACAGTTGGTCCGCCGACCATTCCGGCAGTTACAAATGACATGGCCATCCCCATCGACTGCCCGAGGTGTTTCTTGTCCACATTATTTGCCAAAAGAGCAAATCCAACGACCCAAGTGGCGGTACCCGCCATGGATTGCAGGATGCGACCAGCGAAGAGCAGCCACACTGTTTATGATAGTTAGCTCCCAAGAGTTGTCTTCCAGGTCAGAGGTGCTCTTACCACTTGGGGCGAGAGCAATGAGAAGGGTTCCCAGAAAGCATCCTGCCAGAGCGATCAATAGTGGTTTCTTTTGGCTCGGCGTCTTCTCTGCAAGGTGAGCGACCATGGGAGCCGAGATTAGACCAATGAACCCATGGGTGGTGAGCAATGCTGTGGTGTATGTCTGAGTTTGGGATGGATCAAGATGGAGTCGTTCTTCAAGCATATAACTCAGGATCGGAGTAAGAAATCCGTAGAGAAATGTCTCTGGTGGATTTTTAGCATGACTCAGATGCGGAACAAGTGCTCGGGTGAATGACACAACCACCCACATACCTGTGAATAATGCCACCGTGATAGACGAAACAACCAGCCGTCGAGATGAGCGCCATTCATAGCCCCATGGCTTTGTATCCTCGTTCATTTTGATATCTTGAGTGCTGAACAAGAGAAGAACGAAAAAGTGGGGACCCAGAAGAAAATCGTCAAGTCGTCATTTCAGACGGTACAAATGAAATACCACTGGATTAAGCTAGCTTGTTGAGATCAACCAATTGTCCCTTTCTTTTCGGTAAGTTGACTTCCTCGCTCTAGTATCGGTGGGGTTTTATTCGCGAGTCAATTCAGATCGTCCTCGCATTTGAGCCGAACATTGTGATGGATGCCTTGCTTGCATCCTCCATGGATGTCCTCCGTATCAGGGAAATGAGGAAAAGCCACCGTGTGTGTCACACTTAGAGTTCACGCCCTTTGCTGTAGATCCTCAATCTTATGGACATGCACGCAAACCAGCCAGTTCATCCACGGAGTAGCCGCATGAACCCGTCGGCAACCGTCGGAGCTCCCGAGAAGTCTTTTGTGTCCAGTCCGACTATGGGTTCAATCGTAGGATCGGCACCGTTGGTGTGTCTGGACCCTTTGAGTCGGAAATGGTTAAACAGATGGAACATTTCACACGTTCAACTACGGCACCTGCCATGCCATGCTGTCAAACAAAAGTTCGAAGGGATAAGACATGGCGCAAGGGCATGCGTGAGACCAATCCCACTGCTACCAGTCCCACCAAGGAAGGTGGATGTCAGCTAATCTTTGCTCCGTATATGGTATAGTGTGGTGTGGTTTCAAATTCTGAAATTTGATGTTTACTTGCTCCGGAGCAACTCCACAAAATACAACCACTCGAATGTATAATATGTGTCGAATATTGAGGGTCCAAGACATGGTTGAAACCAGGACCGCCAAATGGTGGATCCCATCTTAACGTGCACATTGGGATTAGTCAGAGGTTCCAGTGAAATTGCTGTTAATTCAAGAGGTTATACATGCTGACCGTACCATGCCTACGGTATACATCTAGCTGTCTGTAAATACTACAATGTACAATGTAACAACATAGGCACGAAGTGTTGTGACTACCGTAGTGGTGTGCCATGTAAGGTTTAGCGTCATCAAGTCCCCTCTTTTGTGGTCATTTGAGCCCTCGAGCACATTTTGCGTTACTTTTCCTGGCACTGCTCCGTTACCGCTCAGGCTCTCACTTTGGTCATCTCACGTTGATTAGTAGGTCGATGATCAAACTTCCGCGCATCGAGGTACATTCATCCTACACTCTTTGTGGACAGTGGCCTGGGCCTAGCGGTGCTTCAAATCTGCCTGATGGAAATAAAGCCTGTCCGAGGGCTTTTGTCAATCTTGACGCATGGTGTCTTCACTAGGTCGACCCCAAGAATGGTCGATTTGGTAGGCTTCTTTGACAAACCAGACTAACTTGGCCCTGATTCGCATCAGCCCGTGGTGGTATAGAGACCCAATTTTGCGTGAACGCAAGATTCCTCGATGGTCGTCTCCATACTCTGGGACGATCTCTCATTCGCCTGGATTCCGTATGGCCAGGGCGCTAGCCCGCGTGTAAAGATCCATCACTCTCGACCTACACGGCTGTTTAATGTGGCCATTCGTATCCCGGAGATCTAGGCTCCCCCAGCCCTTACCATCGAGTACATCTGGTCCCCGAAATCGTCGTTGGCGTCATGACCGATTGGCACGGAGGAGAAAGCGAATGGGTAAGAAAATGCATTTAACCCTCTTAGCAACGACAACATAGAGGAGGAAGATGCGAAGAGAGCGTTTCGTTTAAAATTCTTAGCTATGGAAGGGTTGGCAGGCAGAGCTCAATGGACCCACACGGCGTAGATAATGCGCCGATACGTAGCCCCACACCACTAGTAATGATGTTAGATGGGCTAATCATCCTAATTTCTTAGCCAAATGAAGGATTCAGTGTAATCGGGTAGTTCTAAAACTTTACTGGTAGCGCACAAGCTTGGTTTATCACTAGCCTTGTATGCGAGCGTGCTAAAGAGATGCCACCGTTCTCAAGAGATTGTCAAATGTCCACGAAGATCTAATATAATTTTGAGAGGTATTGAGCTACCGAAGTTAATGTAAAGTGTAAGAGATTTCGCACTGCGATACCAATTTCCTTTGCTTATGAAACCAACCATCCATCGATAAAAGATCAAAGGATGAAGATTTTCTCGAGTTTTTCGTGGTGGCCTCTGCGTGGATTGTGCCAAAAATCGAGAAATCATTGCACAGTCTGTTGTAGCTCCGTAGAAAATCTGCCTTAGGAGATGCCTCCCCCATTTATACCTAGAGGACAGAAAAGGGAAAGACGCTGCAGATAGTTGCAACTGTAGCGAACTCGGAATTAGGGCTTTTTCTCAAACCTTAACCAACGGAGTGGATATACGGAGTCTCTGGAGAAGGAAGGGGCTATCTATAATCCCCAGTCATTCTCTTGTGCTTGCTGCTATGCTATTCTATTTATGCCATCGGTCGCATTCTCTGCTTTCCTTGCCTATGGTGCGTGATTCGGCGTGATTCGGGTCCTGCGGCTTGAAATTCGTTCCACACAGTCATTGAGAAATTTTCTGAAGACTAATCTGTGTTACATATCTTACGCGAGTAACCTCATCGGACGTGATCAGATAGGCAGAATTGGTTCAATTTGTACAGCAGATCATTATTACAGTGGTTCGTTTCATCCTTGATGACTCTGTGCTTCACGCTCTTCTTGCTCTTTTTGCCTTTTTTTGTTCTTTGGCTTCTGCGTCTGCCTGCTTCCACGAGCCCTCGTAATGATGTGTCACAAGAGCATCGCCTTGATCCACAGGGAATCCGTTTTGGGCCGCCGCAAAGGAAACACCGGGCATGATCAAGACATCACCGACCAATTTCGGATGTTTGATTCCTGAGAAGTCGCGGTCATCTACCGTCCTATTGAGTAGTTGTCCTAAACTTTCCAGGATCGCAATCGTCATAATTTTAGGACCGGTCACGTTCACTACATCCTTAAGCATCTCCAATGTGATACCGGAGAGAGACACATTGTTGGTCTTTGCAATCTCCTTTAACTTGTTGACGACAGCATTAACAACCACAAGCAGGTTGCGAGATGACGGCTGGGCTGCAAAAACCCAGTTGCAGAATTGAGATGCGACCTCGGCTTCTGGGCCCCGATAGGCAAAATCAAATTCCAAACCGACAATCAGATCGATGTTTTGATCCTTGTACTCTATAGGCACCCAGTCAGAAAGTGGTTTCTCCAAAGTGACATCTAGATCACTCCAGTACCCGCCCTCGGCGAAAACAATCAAATACCGAAGAAGATCCGCCCGTAAGATTGGAATCGATAGGGTTTCGATGGCTTCGACAATATCTGGCCGCGTCTCCTGGTAGTATGCGCGAACAAACGCCTCGCCAGATCGGTCGGTGAGCAACTCCTGGCGGCATTCGGGAGTTGTACTCGACCAGCTGTTCACCCATGTGCGTTGATTTTCCGATATGTCATCGGTTTTTGCGGAATGCCAGACTTTATCCGGAATATCGGAAATTGAAGTGTTGTTTGAGAAGCGAAATTTGGATTTGCTGGGCGAAGGACATCCTGGGATTTGTGAAGTTGGGGAAGCTAGATTTGCGTCGCCGATCGTAACGGTCCCTGAGGAGGGGTGCGAGCTGGGAATGGCCTTTTGTACTGGCTTCCAGTCCGCATAGAAAGTGTACACAAATGCAAACACTATGATTATAGGAACGAGTAGGCGCAAGGCACGCGACTTGTTCAAGTAAGTGATTGATATCATGATGTGGGGACCCTTCAGGGCTGGTGTGTAGAGGTGAAAGAGATCGCAAAGAAAAAAGACAGTGAGAAAATGAAAGTTCAAGATGGGATGAAAAGAAGACGGACACGATGAAGACAAACAAATCATGAAAGAGCCGTAGTGTAACCCTTGAGATTCATGGCTCCAGCTTTAGCGATGGGATTCGATGACTGGGGTCAACCCCGTCGGGACCTCCGTTCCTGATCTACCACTGACCTACGGAATGGATAGAAGGTTAAATTGCTCTAGGAGGGCCACGTGCATTAGGGTCTGCCATTAAAGGGATTTGGGTGGTCGGAATACGCCATTTGATTTGCCAGATCTTAGTGGCGGTTATAGTAGTCCCCTGATTGGCCTAACGGTAGAGCCTTGTTAATATTGCACTGCAGTGTTAGCCTATGTATCCGAACTTTTGACTATTTGTTCTCATATATACGAGGCTACTATCTGGCATCTGTCTTGGTGAGTTATATCTAGGGTATCAGGCCGAAAAATAATGATAGCGGCCTTGTCCTTTGGCTCCGCGCAACGTTCTCTTCCCCAGATTCAGAGATAATCTTTTAGATTTACGATATCGACTTCATTCGCACCTTTTTAGACGTGGGTCATGCTACCAGGTATAGCATGCTTTTGTCTCATGGTGACAATGCTGTGAATACTTCGGTACAGAGGGACCCATATTTTATCGGATGGTATATGGGACCTTCAACAAGTGAGTGCGCACCCACGATCGATCTAGAAGGAGTTTAGAACCGGACTGAGCTTATTTATGTCCAGCTCAGGCATTAACAGACCCCGAGACTTGGACTACCTCTGGGAACTATGCGCGCGGTTGCTCTAAAGGTGATTGCGGATTGGATAGGCAATAGCATCACCCATGATAATAGTAAAACGTCTTTATGGTAAGCACTTTTAAGGAAAAGAAGACTGCCAGAAATCTTTTTTTTTTGCGCCTAGAAATGTATGTCGTACTATGACCATCTTCTAATCAGCACCATATACATCACCTTCGGCGAGCAATCTCTTCTGCGCAGAATATTGGGTCGCCTTCACTGTCTTTCGCGAATTAGCAGTATCAATCACTAGCTGCGGTGATTGCCCACATTCAACAGCCAAAAGCGAATATGTTCACTGACTGTAATTCCAGAGTCTTCCACCATTTCCAGATCTTCTCGCACAAGTATCCCATCTACCACCGCACCACCCACAAGTGGCTCGCTCATCCACAACCGGTTGCCCAACAACAGCCGCACCCACATATTTTTTAGACAACCACTAGAACGAAAGCGACCTACACTAAGACCAATAGAAAATTCAACTTCAAGAACCCCACCGGTGGACCGTCATCGGGGATCTTACCTCCGCCGAAATTTAGCATGTAATGTTTAGTGCCGCCTACTATGCTCGCATAGAAGTAGCAACCCTAGTAGAAGTCATTTTAGCGAGGATCAGATCGGATCCAGATAAGGATAAATAGATCGTTAAGCGGAAGTCTAGCTAATGTGACTTCTTATTACTTCTTGATAAAAGTCGCCCTTTCGTAGTCATACATCACAAAACATAGTATATAGAACAACTACGTCTCACCTCCTAATTCCTCTATTTCTATATTGCCTGTAAATCAACCTCAATTTTCTTAGTTCCTGGGCTCGCCAATCTCTCTAATACTAATCAATTCTCAAAATAGATACTGCTTCTATGCAGGAAGCCATCTCCCCCCTACACCGTAAGATTGGCATACATCACTACGGACAGCGAGCTTTATGGTTTCGATACTTCTAAATCACTACAACCATTTTGAAGCTGCAAATATAAAATGCCAACTGCACACATTCATTCCATATCCAGACTTAACTCCGTACTATATAGAGATGTCCATGACTTTGAGGTGGATTCTCACCGCCCCACTGTATGATTTTTGACTCCGAGCCCGATCAAAGTAACAAACCAAGATCAACACTGGGTCGCCATAGAGTCTCATTTCGTTCACCAGTGCATGTTCCGAGCTGTGTCACGCGATCCGGATATTTGATAGACATCTGCAATCGCATAGGCATTTCCAGACGCCCCATTCTGGCGCCCCCTCCCGGAGTCGACACTTAAACTCCGATGCTTACAAAATCTAGAACCAGTACTCGGACTATATCAAAATGGCAAGCATTCAGCACCCTCGGTCAGCGACGACAGTCTTTCTAGACCAGCCGCCCAGTTGCCTGGAGTTCTGCCCCGAGGCCCCAGACCATTTCATTGTGGGCACCTACCTTCTATCAGAGAACAAAACAGAAAATGGAGAAATCGAGCAGTCCAAAACTGGGAGTCTGCAACTATGGAAATTAGACCCAGTTAGTAAAACATTGTAAGCCAACCACAACCCATCACATGACCCGGGAGCCGAGTATAACACTCTCATTACGAAGCAACTAACAGCCCTTAGAGCCCAAATCCAAAGAATTGCTGTCCCATACGCAGTCTTTGACCTGCATTTCCACCCAAGACGCAAAAGCCTCTTCGCAATTGCAACCAGCGTGGGATCGGTGGCTCTATTCCAAATCTCCACCAACTCAGACACGGGAGACGCATCCCAGACCCCAAGCATCACTCAACTATGGACGAAGCAAGTACACGAAGACCCATCAATCCCGGCGTTATTCCTCGCATGGGCACCGCAAAAGTGGTTCCCCCAGCCAGCAGCAGATGGCTTCGCCGTCACCTTCTCAGATAGCCGGACAGCCCTCTTCGGGACAGAGGGTGAGATCCACCACGACGAAAGCGTCGCAGAATGGGGCACGTATGAAGCTAAACAAAGGATCGAAGTCTGGTTCGTTGCATTATCAACAAGCACCGAAAACCCAGGCCCCGAGACGCAGAACCCATCTGCGACCCCGTACATGTTCACGGGCAATGACTTCGGCTCGCTACATACGCGCCGATTTGATAATACCGCCAACTTGGATGGGCCGGACGAGCACGTCTCGCCCATCCTCCTCGAGCATGATGATCGTGCTCGCCACCACACTGCTGGTGTCACTGCCATCTTGCCGCTTGATGTTCCTATGGTCGATGATGCCCCGGTTCTTCTGACAGGATGCTATGATGAGAGTCTCCGTGTGTACCACGCTACGCGGAGGGGAGAGGTTCTCGCTGAGCAAGGTCTTGATGGTGGGGTTTGGCGGCTGCAGTTACTGAATACGACGAGAATTCCGGGCTCGGATGTATCTGAGTGCCGCTTTTTGGTATTGGCGAGCTGTATGCATGCTGGGACGAGGCTTGTACGGGTTACGTACACGCAAGAAGATGGGGTTCCGAATTGGGGGATTGAGGTCCTGGCGAAGTTTACTGAGCACGAGAGCATGAATTATGCCAGTGGTGTGTGGGAGGGTGGACAGGGTGTGACTCGGTCTTCTGAGGTTTTGTGCGTCTCAAGCAGCTTCTACGATCGCAGGCTCTGTGTTTGGACTATTGATGTTGACTTGAACTAAAGAAGCCATGTCAAAATTGAAGTCAATATAGATGCTGGGACATTCCCCTCTACCAGTTTCGGGCTGTCAGCCTTACTAAGATACTGCTGGAACTTCGTAAGCCGAAATTATTCTAACAGGATTGTGGTCATGAAAACGCTGGGGAAAGCAGAATGCATAAGCGGCAGGTCTACAAGTACATCCGCGCCCGAAGACAAGAAAAAGCCATTCGCATCCGAAGAAAAGTATATTATTCCCATTGATCCATTGAGCATTTTATTAGACAATAGTCTCCAGCTCGCGAGCATAACCCAACGCATTCTCAATAACAGTGCCGCTAGCCATTAGGATGTCCTTCTCGGACCTGGCAGACGCCTCGGGCTCAACAGGGAAGTATATCCGGCCGTCGCGAAGGATCCAGCCGCGCTGCTTGGCAAATTCGATTACTGCACCCTCGGACTCGAGGAAGAGGAGATTCTTGGCGTTTGAGATGGGAAGGGAGGGGTAGGCCTTCTCTGAGCAACCTGCGATTTCATTGCGAATGGTGCCGATGAGAACCTACAAAGCTCCTGATTAGTATCCTTAACGACGAAGACATAGAATTGGAAGCCGAGCAACGCATGAAACTTACATTCGAAAACAGACCAAAGTCTTCCGACGGAACACGCTCGGACTTCGTCTCCCTCCACACCTTGTCATAGCTTCCTTCCATCAAGTTGCGCTCCAGCTCAACGGGGTACTTGATGCATGCATCATCCTCAACATGGCCACCCTTCAAGCTCGCCTCTTCCACTAACCCCTCCAGCACTGTGTGGAAGTTGGCACTGTCGCCCATGCTCAAAAGAAGAAGCAGATACAGTCCTGTAATCTTGCTGCGTTGACTAGTGCTAAAGTCAACTTCCGAAGGGCTTTGCCCGGGCAGACCAGCGTGTCTCTCGAGGTCGTAGAATGGCTGCAGTTGCTGATAATAACGTGTGAATAGCTGGGCGTCGGTCTGGCGGATGGAGGCGAGTGCTCCGAGTTCGAGGACTTGGCGGGCAAGGACGACAAGCTGCGGAGGTGTGGAAGAAGTTGGGATCAAGGCATTTTGCATAAGGAGAGCTCGCTTGGAACGGCTGAGGAGGTCGTTGGCGGCATCGAATTGTTTGCGCTCGATAGCACCGTGGAGCTCTGACACAAGGGACTGTAGATCGGACATGGTGGATGATGTGTGGGTTCAGGACAATGCTAAAAGGGAGTGAGGCAGCCTAGCCGATTTGGGACGAAGGCAATATTTGAAACGGCGGAGACGATAGACAGTTCGGGTTTTGGTTGATGATTGTTGGTGACATTCCAACGCTCATGACGGAGCTGCGGTAGGCGGTCAGCTCATAGTCACGTGTGGGCATTTTGACATTCGCCGATCCGAATGTTGACCCTGCTACTGCTAGTCACCGCAAGCCCGGCTAACTATCTAACTTACTGTTATTGGACATTTGTGAACGATAGCATGACTTGTCATTTTTGATAGCTAAACCTACAACTCAATTTCATGTCTACACATGGTCGTCTGATAATGCCAGTTCCACAAGTGTAGGGAATAAGGGCGTGCCTAGCCCTGTCACTGGATCCCACCCTGTGGTGGCATCCCAGCTTGCGTTCCGTACCCGAACATCACCAGGGTTCTGTTTACAGCCTGAGGAGCTGCCCAGAATAATATCCCTGAGTCCTGTTTGCCCGTGGCTATAAAGCCATGGGTTCAGGAAGCCCATTCGAGGCTTGCCCTGGGCAATACGGGCAGAGTTGAGCCGGGAAATTACAGCTGCAATCACTGGGGTTGAAGCACTGTAAATAGTCAGCACATTTATCTTCCCAAAAATCCGCCAGAAACAAACCTTGTACCGCCGACCGAGATCCACTCGCCATGGTCTCGAACAATGAAATTGGTGGCTTGGGCAGATAGATCGGGAAATCCCCTTCCCGTAGCATTATACAGTCCATTCCATCGATTTCCAAGATGATGAAGGTAGCCTTTCACTGCCTGGTCCTGGTATTGGGGACGAGGGAACACCTCTGAAAACCCACCTCCAGAGAAGGAAACCTCTCTTTCGGGATTGATTCCGTATGTTCCACCCACGGAGGTTACAAATGGACATGAAGCAGGATATTCGGGGAGAAATCTGGATTGCTTCGTCCCGTCATTTTTCATACACGAAGTTCCCGGACCAGAATCTCCGCTACCGAAAAGGATTGAAACTCCCCGGGCACCGAGCTGGGCAAATAGGCTGCAAGTTGCGTTTAGATAGGACGGTGGAAGACTCTGCTCGTTTTCTCCGTATGAGTTGGAAAGCACCGCGGGGAGCTCTTCATCGGGAAGATTCAGGAGGTAATGGAGCTGTTCAAGATATGGCTCATTTGATGATTCGGCAGGGTCTGGATGAGCAATTTCGGGGACTACAGGACCGCGTCCCCCGGTACTATAAAATGTTGCTAGCACTTCATCCGCGAGTGGAATGGAGTACTGCACATCTAGATTTGCTTCGATGCTATCAGACATGGAGTGTTGATAATCCTGGCCGCCGTTGATCGAGACGATGCTGAAATTAGCGTCTGTGTGGCTTTGCGCGTATTGTCGCAAAAATTCATCGAAATCAGTGTGGCGAGCATACTGTTCCAGGAAACCAGATATCCCCAGTCGATTCCGCCATTCAGGTCTGGTGGTTGTGTTATCAATTCCATAAAGATCCCGAAGGCAGTCCGGTATGATGGTTGTACCACAACTAGCGGTTAGCTGCCCGGAAGTCGCTGTCTTTGGTTTGAAAGCGGAGCGTCTTTGAGGTATGAGGCTGCCGAATCGAGTAGTAGGCTGAATCAATTGAATGTGCGGATGTAAATTTCTAGGCACGGAATAACCAAGAGTTCGAATGACGAGGTTTTGCCGGTCGTGTTGATGGAAGGTGAAAAACTCTGTTTTCAGCATCTGTTCAGCCTGGGAAATTGGAACTGTGAGCGAAATCCAATGGCCATCTAGGTTAATAGAACTGGCTGAAACATTTTCTGATCGCAGCCATGCAATTATCCGGTCTGAAGTTGCAGCAGGTGGACTCAAGAGTTGCATCACTTCGTCTCTTTTCATATGTTGACCATAGCTCGCGTGACCTGGGGTTGAAAGCTCGATGACCTTTTGCTCGAATTCTCCGGCGTTTTGTTGGGTAATCGCTAGCCGTAATTTTATGAGTTTAGAGGCCAACGGTTTATCCCCTCTTGACCATCCATGCGGTACCTTGTCTAGCTGTTCGACCCGTTGATAGCTGGAATCAGTAGCAATCACCAACTGGAAATAGCATAACACCAGGGCCAGTGCCTGACCAAACAGAAATTGAAGTCTCATTTTTGTCATCAGATACTTGCTGAGCAAACACGGTGAATAAACACCGTGCGAGAGCATTCAGGCTGTTAAGATATATCCCTTTCTATACGAGTTGGAAAAAAAGTCGACCATCACAAATGAAACTCGCACGTCATCTGGTAAACAGTCAGAACTATCCGAGCTAGGGCACTGAACGCATATGTATGACGTCCATCCCAAGTAGGAATTCAACAATACAACGTTGCACACTAACATGGTAGATACCAACATCTGCTATATGCCGAGCGGAAATCCACTCGTGTAAACTAGGATATTCAATATCACTACTGGCATGTCAGGGCTAGTATAGCCAGAGGAAAGATAGAAATGTAGAATGCTACTCGGGCACACCTGGGTCTCTCTGTTCTTAGAGAATACAGAATAGGTCGATATCTGTCTACGATCTGAATAGAGATGAACATAAGCTTGCTAACTCTTGAGGTTCCATGAGCCCAGAAATTCAAATCATTACATGAGACCATGAAAGTTATAGTTGGTTGTCGCTCTTGCCAGTGACAAGGATGGACCGCCGAGAGAGACAAATTGCATATGTACTGCTACCCAAAGCACACGTAAACTTCATATTCGGAACAAAGTGATTAGTTTCTTTCTGGCTTTCTGGGTTTGAGAGACCGTGATATGTATGAGCCCGATTACAGGGAGCTTCTTAACCGGGACGACCTCGTGAACAATATCAGATGGCTAGCTTCCAAATCCTTGCACAAGGAGGCAAAAGCTTACGTTGCAATGATTTTTTTCCAGCGCTCCCGCTGTATCACCCCCATGCAAAAATAGAGTATGCTCATCCCTTAAGGTCTTCAAATTTCTCTGTGGACCAGTGATAGGCTACACTGTACCATCAAACTTGAGTCCATCAATTCAGATATTTCAATTTAGAATTTAGCAACAGAAAATTTATCAAACAAATTCTTGTCGTACATTTCAATCGAATGAAGTTGTTGTTCCTAATCAGCCCACAAATCTCTAGCTTGCAGGGTAACCTAATGTATGTGGCACAGCACGAAACGACAAAGTGTTCAAGTCCAGTTGATGCCTTGTAGCCTAAAAATCTACCCGGATCATCTATTTTTCCCACCTCCGTGAAATGCGGGATGATCGACGTCACAGTGTAGCTGCAGTGATTCTCACGTCAATCTGAGGTCGGTCACTTACTTCAAAATAAAGAAACGTCTTTAGAAATGGATACTGAGTGATAAGCTTTGACATAGCCCGAACTTTTAATCCCCAAACTTATTTTGGATTCCAAACCCGACGAGATATAAATACAGAAAATTTGAATGTGGGGAAATACTGCGATATTTTTGCCTAAATCAGACAATCAACAGTCGCAAATAAGCCTGGAAGCCACCTAGGAAGGATCTGCTTGATTTGGCTTCAATTGCGGGGTGGTATGATCAACTTGGGAATCGACGTCATTGCTACGATCCGTATCTCACAGGACCTTGGCCTTCCCTAGTTTATCTCCGTTTCCATTCCTGAACCGTCCTTTCAAATACGCCATGGCTGAAGCAGAAATACAACATCCACGACGAATGTCGGCGGATAATCAGACAGTCTCGAAAGCTGATATCTCCTTGAAGGAGCGCTTCTTCCGCTATTTCCAGCATGAGATCACCGGTACGTTCCCGTTGAGATTCAAACGCCACTTCATCAAGCAATACAACCACAAAACACTTGCTGATGACAGGAATATTATAGATTTACAACAGGAAATGGATCGTCTTGCAGACACGTCTCTAGTAGGTGGTGAACGTGCCGATGCAACAGACCACTGCCTTGCTGGGATCGTGCGGTTATCCAACGAAGTCAAGGATGCAGCGAGCTATATCCCCACCTATGATCAAAGGGTGTACGCAGAGGTAAACGCCACTCACATTCTATCTTGCTAGAGCAGAGCTGACATCTCTATAGGCAATCAAAGCTTTGCAAGATCGATTGAGCGAGACCCGTGCAGCATTCGAGCCCCGATCAAAGTTCAGCTTCAAGACCAAGAAAAATACGTCTGCTGTCTCTTTGTCGGACGCTGCCCTGATGGCAGTTGAAGGGCGTCTTAGCATCCCTGGATATCACTCTCCCGGTGCCTCGTCTGTTGATTCGTCCGCGAACCAGACCCCCAACTACCCTTCCACCCCACTGAACGAGCCGGAAAAGCAGCAACAAGAGCGACCGGAGCTTGCTCCCACTTCATTCCCAGGTGTCCCGGCCGGGAACTTTGCTATAAAGTCTCCCTCGGAGAACCACTCTGGCGGGTTTGCGGCCACCGGCATATCCTCTGTGTCGGTCGATGATTATCATAAACTTCACATTATGCTTCCAGCCGCCGGGTCAACATCCACGGTCCCGGTGTCTCTTACCTCCCTGGATCGCTGTATCGTTGATATGACGATTCCCACTGCCAACGGAAAGCCGTATGCCAGTCTGACTTCCAAGGGGATCAAAGAAAGCTTATTGATCTGCGGTCAAGTAAATGGCCCTGCACACATTACTGGCATTAAGCGTAGCGTGATTGTGGTATCATGTCGCCAGTTCCGCATGCACAATTGCAGCGATGTTGATGTTTATCTCAGCTGCTCGAGCAACCCCATTATTGAGGACTGCTCCAATATTCGATTTGGTCGAATTCCGAAGGCCTATGTCAGTTTTCTCCTCGTGCGACCTCTCCCCTTTGGTTTGGTACTTATATTCTTCTATCTAGGCTTTGGACCACGACCGTCCCGATCACGAAGATCGTTGGAGCCAGGTCGAAGATTTCAAATGGATTAAGCCGGAGCCTAGTCCCAACTGGAGCCTACTCGACCCCAACGATGCCGTTCCCGAGGAGGTCTGGGCAGAGATTGTTCCCGGCGGGCCGGGATGGTCTCTTGAGGACATCTTGCATGCCGTAAAAGTAGTTCAAAATTAGTTTTCCCCGCTTGACTGATGTCTTGCTTCCCACTTGAATGGACATGTTCCTACAGGACGCACCTGATTTCAACTGACATTATGCGCCAACGTGATTCATACCGCCCTTTCTACTTCAAATCATCATCACCTTTGCTCCTTTTCTTCTCGCCACCATGTTCAGTTGCGACTTTTGCGATCTTTGACATTGTGGATGGACCCAAGCATAGCTGCGCCACTACAGCTATGTGCTTGTAGCTACGAACCGAAAGATCTGAGCTTGACGGAAGGGAATATGCTGATTTGAGCCTAATTCACAATTTACTTGATGAAAAGGAAACAAGAAGACGTAGTTGGCCGCTTTTGCAGCCTCTGTTCATGTCGATGCAGGAAGGACATGATATATTATCTGCACACCAATTTGGCTTGAGATGCTATTGAAAAGTTAAGACTTCTGCCAACCCTATGATGGTTTTTCGTACACCAAAATTTTACAGCCAGAAGTGTGATCGGTGGCATTTCTTTTGAGATCTATTCTAAGTCCTTGTGTCGTCTGCCAGAGTTCAGGTCAACTGTTCCAAGTTGTGGGCACTTTGGGATAAATCTTCGCATGGTAGCCCAGATCTTCAAAGACAGTTTCATCTCCTGGGGCTAAGGTTAATCTCCGCCTGATGAAGAATCAGTCAACACAGCAACATACCTTTGAGAGCATCAACCCGATGCTCATTCTCGTCTGACATTTTCTCCAGTTCTTGACCAGGCTCTTCCTCATGCGGCTGTTTACCACCCATAGCAAATGCAGCCTTGCCAAGGTCATTCTGCGCCTCGCCAATCATGAGGAATTGAGCGTTAGGATAGTCCAGGAACTCGGGCTGCAGAGGCACCCATCTAAGATCTTCGAACTTGTCCAGCACCCTAGCGAGAATCACGTTACCGGGGAACTACCACAATCTCTCCACGGGAGACCACTTACGATTGAGGATATTCTGGGTTTTTTGGTAATTGACCCACCGGTGGACCAGCGAACTTGGGGCTCTTTGATTGAACAATCCAACTCCCGCGTGGTTGCAGGCCAAAGTCCTCCTGGATATCACCTATCTCGGCAGGGATGGTCAGGATATAGGCGAGATGGGATGCTCGCTGGGTGGAGGTGATCGCGTAGACACCTTCTGCGTAGGGTCTGGCTTCCTCGGTGTGACGTTCCCCTCGGGTAGAAGTCTGGTAAGTCTTACCGGTGATGAAATTATCATGGAGAGCTTGCATAGATTGGCCAGCCTTCTCCACAAATCCCATGTCTCGTTCTTTGGGCGAAGTTGGAAACTTTTTTTTTGGAAGGATCAGCAAGCGACAGGAGGCGTCTTCGTCAACAGGGCCTTGTCCTTCGTCAAATTTTGCCCCAAGGACCGTTGGACGGAGGACAAAGAAGCTTCGCGCGACGTCGCCCATGCTCTGGGGGTCCTCTGTGTTGACGCGTGGGCGGAAGAAAAAGTAGATAAAGCCTTTTTCGAGGATGTTTGAGGATACCACATTTTCCCTCTCCTCGGACTTGTGCAGACCTCCCTCAACTTCTTGAGGTTTTTCTGGAGGGATCTCAGCGGGATGCTCCTTTGACGGTTGTTCTTCGGATGATTGTTCTGTCTTGACGGGTGCTTCCTCTGTTTTCGGTACTGAACCGGCTGCCAATGCGCCTGGTACCTGCTCTACTTTCTCTCCTTCTGGCGTTGTTTCCTCTATTTTCTCCTTTTTGGGCTGTGGAGCCTCTTCGGTTGAACCTTTCCGCTTTGTTCCCTTGGTGGTCTTGCTAGTAGGCTCGGCGGAACTTGAAATGGCTTCCTTGGCCTTCTGGGCAGCAGGGCGTGAAGATGTCCGTGTGGCCATGATGTCGGCTGATTTCTAAGATGGTGGTAAAGACCAATACATCTCGATCCAGAGAAGTGCTTTTAAACCTCTAGAGCTACAATGAGACACATATGACGTCATGTAATACAGGCAAATCCGCCCACATGCTAGACGTGACTTTACCCAGAATTACCGCCGAGAATAGCATCATAATATAATTTTCAGTCGATATCCATCTCATCGACCATGGGAGAGTCGTTCATGGCATTGTTGCTAGTCAGGTCGATTGATGCTGTCTCGGAACCCGAGCTTTCGTTCGCATTGCCTTCCCGGAAAGTGCCAAATGAGTCTATGTCTTGAAAATTCCACTCTGGAAGTTTGCTAAACATTCGTCTTTTGGAGCGGTGCTCATGCACTTCAGGTTGCGTCTCGGCCGATGCATGTCTTTGTGCGAAGTGAGGATAGTCCTGTTGTGTAGCGAGTGTGTGATGAGCTGGCTTTCTCTTCTCTCCTCTCCTTCGCGCTGGATGAAATGCTTTGCTATTAGATCCGCCCGGTTGGTTGTCCATATCGTTCAGATAGTTTGTTAATTCACGGTGCCACCGTTCAAATCGATCTGGGAGACATAGTTGATCTGCCCTTGGAATGCTAGTTTCTAAGTCATCATCGGGCTCCTCAATATCGTAGGGTTTAATCAGTCGAATTTCCTTGCTGTTCTCGAACAGATCCGTGTCGTGGGTGGGCGTTGAGGGCCCTGAGCCGTCCATACTCTGCTCACTTTCCTCAGGCTGGTGGTCTGCTGCAATACCAGAGGAAGTAAACCCGGGAAGGTGTTCGAAGGACGGGTTTGGCTTGGCAGGACTCGTGGTATCATCCATTGAAAGGCCTTCCATGCGTATTGTATCAAGATTTGAGTCTAAGCGTTGTTGACATTCCAGGTCAAGGTAAATTGTTAGACGGTCAAATCCACACCCAGGCTTCTAAGGAAGTCTGAAGTAGGAAGAATGAAATCTGGTATTGAAGAAAAAGAGATATACTCTATTATGAAATGACCAAGTACAAGAAAGAGACCGGTTAAAGTGCAAGAGAATGGAATTCGCAAGAAAGTCATGGTCGTCATAACACCATGGCCTTCCAGATTCTTCCAACATGGGGGTGGAAGATGGAGAACGGGAGATATCTCCACTTGTGGAAGTTGAACTTTGGATGCATAGAAAAAAAAAAGAGATTAGAGTGATTTCAATCTATATAACACGAGAATACATCAAACATTCTCACCTCGGCCCTGATCTATAAACAATCCACATAAACTGTTGTACAAAGTAAAGATCGAGACTAGCTGCCCCTGACCGCTCACCGCCCGGCAGCTTGATTGGCCGATATCACTCGCTTCCACAATAGAGTCCACGTTTAGTTTACTGCTACACCAAACACCAGCACTAAGTGTTTACCTTTCGCTCTTTCTTTCTTGCAGGTGGATGCGGTGGTCGCCTCTGCCTTCTATTGCTCTCTAGTGTGCGGAGCTTGCTACTTTACAGTGCGGCTCCGGCCAAATCTTCAAGATGCAGTCCTCCCCAAACATGCTCACCAAGGTACGCCCCCCTCGGGCATCTTAATGCGCCGTCAAACAATGGCACTCAATTAGAGATGCTAATCATTCTCTCCCTCTTACAGTTTGAGTCGAAATCCTCCAGAGCCAAAGGAATCGCATTCCATCCCAAACGGTCAGTCAATCCCGCGGAGGGACACCTAACAGCACCCTATCTGACCTCAAAAACAGGCCATGGATTCTCGTCTCCCTTCACTCCTCTACCATCCAATTGTGGGATTACCGTATGGGAACTCTTATCGACCGGTTCGAAGAACACGATGGCCCAGTTCGGGGCGTTGATTTCCACCCAACCCAGCCCCTGTTTGTGTCGGGAGGTGACGACTACAAGATCAAGGTTTGGAATTACCAGACTCGGAGGTGCTTGTTCACATTGAATGGTCACTTGGATTATGTGCGAACAGTATTCTTCCACCCCGAGCTGCCCTGGATTCTATCTGCGTCCGATGACCAGACCATCAGAATCTGGAACTGGCAAAATCGGTCACTCAGTAAGATGCATTGGAGCTACCTGTGTTAATATGGACTAATGCTCTGAACTTTTTAGTCTGTACGATGACCGGCCACAACCATTATGTAATGTGCGCTCAGTTCCATCCCACCGAGGATCTGATTGCCTCGGCCTCGTTGGATCAGTCGGTTCGAATTTGGGACATATCCGGCCTGCGGAAGAAGCACTCGGCCCCGACCTCGATTTCGTTCGAAGATCAGATGGCAAGAGCCAACCCAAACCAAGCGGATATGTTTGGAAATACCGACGCAGTTGTTAAGTTTGTGCTAGAAGGTCATGATCGTGGAGTTAACTGGGTGTCGTTCCACCCCACACTCCCCTTGCTCGTGTCAGCTGGTGACGACCGGCTGGTTAAGCTTTGGCGGATGAGTGATACCAAGGCTTGGGAAGTTGATACTTGCCGCGGCCACTTCCAAAATGCCTCCGCCGCTCTGTTCCATCCACACCAGGACCTCATCCTTTCCGTTGGAGAAGATAAGACGATTCGCGCATGGGATCTAAACAAGCGTACATCCGTTCAGTCTTTTAAGCGTGACCTCGATCGATTCTGGGTTATTGCGGCTCACCCCGAGATGAACCTCTTCGCCGCGGGCCATGACACCGGTGTCATGGTCTTCAAGCTCGAGCGAGAACGACCTGCGTCCGCCATCCACCAGAACCAGCTGTTTTACATTACAAAGGACAAGCATGTCAAGTCATATGACTTCGGCAAAAACGTTGAGTCGCCACCAATGCTTTCGTTGCGCAAGCTGGGCTCCCCATGGGTCCCTCCGCGTACCCTCTCTTATAATCCCGCCGAGCGTGCTATTCTGGTTACTACGCCCGCCGATAATGGAACTTACGAATTGATTCATCTCCCAAGAGATGGAACTGGAGCTGTTGAGCCTACAGACGTTAAGCGTGGACAGGCCACTTCGGCAGTTTTCGTCGCCCGCAACCGCTTCGCTGTCTTCAACCCCCCGAGCCAGCAGGTCGATATTAAGGACCTTAGTAACTCCACAACGAAGACAATCAAGCCCCCGGCGGGCACAACTGATATCTACTTTGGTGGTACTGGATGTCTGCTGTTCATCACCCCGACACATGTTGCTCTGTTTGACATCCAACAAAAGAAGCAGCTGGCGGAGCTTGCTGTCAGCGGAGTGAAGTATGTGGTGTGGTCTAACGATGGGTTGTACTGCGCTTTGCTCAGCAAACACAATGTCACTATCGTGACCAAGACCCTCGACCAGGTCAGCACATTGCACGAGACTATTCGCATCAAGAGTGCTACCTGGGATGACGCCGGTGTCTTGCTCTACTCCACCCTTAACCATGTGAAGTATTCCCTTCTCAATGGTGATAACGGCATTATTCGCACTCTTGATCAAACTGTATACCTTGTGCGCGTCAAGGGACGTAGCGTCTACGCTCTTGACCGCAACGCCCAGCCACGCGTCTTGGAGATCGACCCGACTGAGTATCGTTTCAAGCTGGCTCTCGTGAAGCGGAATTACGACGAGATGCTTCAGATCATCAAGACCTCGAGTTTGGTTGGCCAAAGTATTATCTCTTATCTGCAGAAGAAGGGCTACCCCGAGATTGCTCTGCAATTCGTGCAAGACCCCCAGACCCGCTTCGACCTTGCCCTTGAATGTGGTAATCTCGAGGTTGCCAATGAAATGGCACGGGAACTCGACCGCCCCAACTTCTGGAGCAGACTTGGAGCTGAGGCATTGGCTCACGGTAACCACCAGATCGTTGAAATGACTTACCAAAAGCAGCGTAACTTCGACAAGCTCTCTTTCCTTTATCTCTCTACCGGCGACCAGGAGAAGCTTTCTCGTATGGCTAAGATTGCCGAACATCGTGGCGATTTCACCTCTCGTTTCCAAAACGCTATCTACCGTGGGGACGTTGAGGACCGAATCCAGATGTTCAAGGAAGTGGACTTGTGTAAGCATTAACCCTGGTGGCAATTTTTTCTGTCTTTTGCTAATCTTTGCCAGACCCTCTTGCCTATCTTACTGCCAAGTCACATGGTCTGATTGAAGAGGCCGAATCTATTTTGGAGGCTGTTGGTCTCAGCGAAGATCAGATCGTCCTGCCCACACTCGACCAGCCTTTGAAGGTTCCTAACCCCATTGCTCCCACTTTCAAGTCCAACTGGCCTTTTAAAGCTGCCGGTCACTCCTCCTTCGAGAAGGCTCTTCTTGGAGAGGTTGGTGCCGCCGATGAAGAGGTTGGTGCTGAAGGATTTGAGATTGAGGAAGAGGAGCAAGGAGATGCTGTCGCCAGGGAAACTCTTGATGACGATGAAGAGGAAGTTACCGGATGGGATATGGGTGATGATGTTAATGTTGAGGAAGAGGTCGACTTCGTTAATGTGGAAAGTGCCGAAGCTGGCGCGGGTAGTTCTGAGGCTGATTCGTGGGCTCGTAACTCCCCTCTGGCTGCCGATCACGTCGCCGCTGGCTCTTTCGACACTGCAATGCAGCTCTTGAACCGCCAAGTTGGCGCAGTTCATTTCGCTCCTCTCAAGGCTCGCTTCCTTGAAATTTACAAAGCGTCCAAGACCTATCTCCCGGCTACCGCTGGTCTACCGCCTTTGATAAACTATGTGCGCCGAACAGTCGAAGAGACTGACTCCCGAAAAATGCTTCCCATCATTCCCCGCGACCTAGAGACGGTTGCCAATGTTGACCTGCAAGAAGGTTATGCCGCTATGCGGTCCAACAGATTGGAGGATGGTGTGGCAACCTTCAAGCGTATTCTCCACACTGTTCTTGTTAACACCGTCTCATCCGATGCCGATGTGGAGGAGACAAAGAAGATCATTGCCACTGCTCGGGAATATATTCTCGCCATGTCGATCGAGCTCGAGCGCCGTGCTCTCACCACCAACTCCCCTGAAGATCTCAAGCGCAGCCTTGAGCTGTCTGCCTACTTCACAATTCCCAAGCTCGAGGTCGCTCACCGACAGCTGGCTTTGATGGCTGCTATGAAGTTGGCCTTTGCCAACAAGAACTACGGCTCCGCCTTGAGCTTTGCCAACCGGATGTTGGCCAATGGAGGCTCCGCTAAGCTTTTGGAACAGGTCAGACTTTTCTCAAATTTGAATCTTCAACTTGTGATGTACCAAAACTAACAACGAGAAACAGGCCAAGAAGATCAAAACTCAATGCGAGCGCAACCCTCAAGACCAGATTGACATTGACTTCGACCCCTTCGCTGAGTTCGATATCTGTGCTGCCTCCTACACCCCTATCTACAGCGGCTCCCCCAGTGTCTCAGACCCCTTCACCGGTGCTAAATACCACCCCCAGTACAAGGGAAGTGTCGACCGGATATCGAATGTTACGGAGATTGGTGCCCCGGCCAGCGGTCTGCGTCTGTTCGTCCCCAGTCAATTTTAATTGCCGCATGACGAAGCATTATGGTTTTCTGCCTTTTTTTTCTCTTCTTCCTGAAACGAAGTTACAAATGGTTACATTTCATCTGCACGAGGAGAAGTTGTGTTTGGCGGCGCTTTTGGTTTTTTTTTTCGGCTGGGAGAAAGACAAAACTTCCTGCACACAGTCCTCTTGTCTAGATGTCATTTTGTATCCAAGATTATAATTGCTTAGCGATCTAGTTTGTATGCGAACATGTTTTATCCAAAAGGTCTCTTCGAGGCATGGCCCAAATGCCATGTCTGAAGTCGCTTGGTTCAAACTACTCGATCGGTAGTGATACAAGGACAATCCATATTAATTCACCAAAATGTATGCGTCTAATGTACATGTCTAATGTACAGGGGAGATATGCCAAACTGAAGAGTAGAGAGAAGACCACTCCAAGAAAACCACCATTAACATACAGCTCATTCACACCGACCATCCTTCCACCCAGTTCGCCACCTCTCCTCCCAAAGCCGACAATCAAACTCCTTCTTCCCAAGCTTCCGATTAACCTCATTATGCGCCTCGCACATCCACCACCCAAACTCCTTCCGACTCTCCAGTTTGGGCTTATTCCGTCCACTCGGATGCGCCATCCATGTCTGGAAATCATCCGCACATACCCAGCACGGGTACAGCTTCGAGAAGAACTTTAAAAACCCACTCATGTTCGCTTGGTGTTCCATGTTTGCTTTTTCAGGGTATGTAGCTGCCATTGAGTGCAGCAATGTCCATGTTGAGCGACCTAGTTCTTCGACGTCTGGCGGACAGTCTGAAGGAGTTTCACTGGGAAAGGATGTTGCAGCGGCGCCGAGGGCGGGTGTTGAGGTTGTAAATTTGCTTGTGCTCGAGGTGGGGGAAGAGGCAGAGTTTGAGTTTGCGATTTTGAGGTCGGCTTGCTTGGTTAATGCTCGCCATGAGGCGACGGAGGTGCAGGTGCGACAGCTGTGAGGTGGGTGTGTTAGCTTGTTCTGTAGTTCCAGCTCACAGGGTAGGCCAGGTTATTGCAATGTTTTGATACGTACGGCTTTCCGTCTTTGTCCAGGACTACGCCCTTGGGCAATGGGGCTTTTGAGTCATCGTCTCCGGTGGGCTTGGGGAAGTTTGCGGAGGTCGCGGGGGTTTGCTGGGTGAACATGGATGGCGTGCCTTTATATTGACTAGTGACTTGCTCCGGTGGGACTGATGACATGTTTTCACTTGTGGATATTAAGTTCGTCGAATGATCGATGATTTGGAGTCGTGGAAGTAATTCGGGGCTGATTTCTTACAGATTGCGGAGAAACAGCGGAGGCGAGAAAGTGGTAGTGGTGACAGGTTTTTCGCGCAACAGTCAGGACATAAAACCCTTGAAAAGAGACGAGCAAGCTTATCAGGGCCAATGAGCTTCGAAATATGTCAAAAATCAAAAAAAAAACCTAAGCTTTCAGAGCAAGATTCGCAAATGATATGCAAGTCAAAATTATCACGGCGCCGATCTCTCGATTCCGGTTTGTCATCCGTTCCCGCCGCGCTTCCTCGATCCAGACGCGCTCAGTCGCAGTTTGATAGAAAGACAAAATCCTCTTTCTTCCAATACGTTGCTTGTTGGGTCCGTTTTCATGTATGGTCCGAGTGGCTGGCCCACTTATTCAAGCTCACTCCTACACCATTCACCTCTTTCTAATCGGAACAGAGTGACATCAACATGCCACCGAAGTATACAATGTCCGACTCTGAGTCTGAAGCTGACGGTGAGGTGCTTCACACTCCCTCTGACCAGACTCTTGAGAAGGGCCTTCGGGACCAAGTGGCTACCATCTTCAAGTCGGGAAATATGGAGGAATTGACTGTGAAACGCGTGCGACTTGCCGCTGAAGACACACTAGGTCTCACAGCGGGGTACTTTAAGTTGACAGGTGACTGGAAAGCGCGCAGTGAGAATATCATCAAGGACGAGGTGGTAAGTCTTTTTTTGCATCTACAGCGCCCCCTCAGAAGCTCCAGAGCAGCTCCAGAGGAAAAGACACTGATTACGATTCTTCAACAGGAAATACAAGACCAGGCAATTCAAAATCCTCAATCTCAAGCCTCCGAAATGCCTATTTCTCCTCTAAATCCCAAGCCCATTGCCCTTGCGAAGCGAGCAAACCCTGAGACCGCGCCAAAGCCTAGGAAGCGCCAAAAGACCAGGACACCGGTGTCCGATAAGGAGGATGAGTTATCGGCCCCGTCGTCCGACGAGAGTGACGTGGTCACAAAGCCTAGAAATCGATCAAAAGCACCGAAACAAAGGTTACCAGCGAAGAAGGCCTCCGTACGAAAACCCGAGAAAGATGTGTCAAACGCTTCTGATTTTTCTGATAAAGATGATGTCACAAAGCCCAATAAACCATCAAAAGCGCCAGTGAAGAAAATTTCACAGGCAAAGAATCCCTCCGTATCAAGACCTACAAATGTTATATCAGACACTTCCGATGTTCCCGACAATAGTTCAGATGCCGCCAAAAAGGCCAGAGGTGCCAAGGATGATTCCGAAAGTGAGATGTCGGTGGTGCTTGACGAGGAGCCTCGGCCCAAGGCCCCACGCAAGCGACAGAAAAGTGCCGGGGGAACTGCAACTAAGACGAAGAAGGCCTCAAAAGGCAAGGATGAGGATATCAGCCCGGACCAGGCTGAAATCAAACGACTGCAAGGATGGCTTATCAAATGCGGGATCCGTAAGCTGTGGGGTAAAGAGCTGGCGCCGTACGATACCCCCAGGGCCAAAATTAAGCATCTCAAGGGAATGCTGGAGGATGCTGGAATGACTGGCCGGCCATCTCAAGAGAAGGCGAACCAGATCCGCGAAGAACGGGAGCTGAAAGCGGATCTTGAGCAGATCCAGCAAGGTGCAAAACAATGGGGTGCCAAGAGTGACGAAGAGAATGATGAGGATGCGAAGCCTCGGCGTAGGTTGGCTCGGGGACGACAGTCACTTGCATTCTTAGAAAGTGAGGGCGAAGAGACTGATTGATGGCTAGTATAGGGTTTGTATCGAATGGATTTGTAATAAATGAGTTCGTCGGACCGGCTCCGTTGCCAGAAAATCGGAATATGCGATCATGTTACTTTTAATCTCATCGTTCATGCTTCATGATATCCAAATGTATGGCAATAGGGGTCTTCATCATCGCCCAGCTTTCGGTCCACTCATGCGCTGAGCAGTTAAGCTGAAGATGGCAACAGAAGAGATGAAGAGGACGAGATTGTAAAACTACACCTGTTAGCATGATCAAATCGACCCGAGGTGATCCAATGACATACGGCCTTTCGCGAGTACTCGTTCTCCTCCGCCTCCGTTCTAGCCTCGACAAAGAGGCGTCGCAAGTTAGGGAGGTTAGCCTGCAGATGTGTAAGCCTTGGTAGTTGGACAGTTTGATAGATGTAGAGTTAACGATACCATTTATACAGCGATAGTCTGAATTAGAGGATTAGAGGACAAAATATAGGAGAGAGAGTTGATGGCCGTAGAGCGGGAGAGGTCCAGAAGCCACCATTTGTGGACAACTTTTGATCGTCCGAAACACCCTTTCTTTCCTTCTCTTCCCCCATTCTTCCTCGAAGTCTCTCCACCCCCGGATTGTTCAAAAATCTCTTTGTGTTTGTAGAAAAAGGGACGAACAGTCTCCACACATTCCATTTCCCGACCTCGCGCGACCGTGAACCTTCCAATCCCCCGCAGTCTCGCCCAACGCTACTCGATACCCACTTCCATCCCCGATTTCTAAGCGGAGGTATGACCTAGTCGTTGCTGAAGCTTATACATATTTGCCATGGCGATGAACAAGATCCGCGGCGCCTTTACGGTGCCTCGGAAAGGAGAAACGTTTGAATTGCGAGCTGGACTTGTGTATGCGACCCCCTCTGATGCGCTGGTTTACTCGCCGTAACGAGACGGATCTTATTAACTATTCTTTCAGTTCCCAGTATGCGTATGAACGGTATGTACGGCAGTGAAGCCTTCAGTCCGGCCTGGTGGTGAATGGCGAAGACACGGTCTGGCTGACAATGCATCAGGAAGGAATCCATTCAAAAGACGATCATGGCCATGACCCTAGGAAAGGATGTCTCGGCCCTGTTCCCAGACGTTCTAAAGAACATTGCTACAGCCGATCTGGAGCAGAAGAAATTGGTCTACCTCTATCTCATGTGGGTAGCAAAGTACAACTGAAGATGGCTACGTGTGCTAATCGGTTGAATCTCACTCTCAGGAACTATGCCAAATCGCACCCTGATCTTTGTATTCTCGCTGTGAACACTTTCGTACAAGACTCGGAAGACCCTAACCCACTTATTCGTGCGCTGGCAATCCGAACAATGGGTTGTATTCGGGTGGAGAAGATGGTGGACTATATGGAAGAACCGTTGCGCAAGACCCTCCGAGACGAGTCGCCATATGTCCGCAAGACCGCTGCAATTTGTGTGGCCAAGCTTTTTGATCTCAACCCTGAAATGGCCATCGAGAATGGATTCTTGAAGACGCTCCAAGAGATGATTGGAGACCCCAACCCCATGGTTGTCGCCAATTCCGTGACCGCACTCCAGGAGATTCACCACACGGCACCTGAGACACAGGCTCTGCAGATTAATAGCAACACCCTACGGAAAATGCTGATGGCTTTGAACGAGTGCACGGAATGGGGGCGCGTCACCATTCTTTCAACTTTGGCCGAGTATAAGACCTCCGACGTGAAGGAGTCGGAGCATATATGCGAACGAGTTGCACCTCAGTTCCAGCACGTTAATGCAGGCGTGGTTCTTGCTGCAGTCAAGGCTGTGTTCTTACATATGAAGAATATCAGCCCTGATTTGTCGAAGACCTACCTTAAAAAGATGGCTCCGCCATTGGGTATGCTCTTTCGCTGCTACCATTGCACCTTCTTTTCGCTAATTGTACACAGTTACACTGGTTTCGTCGGCCCCCGAAGTGCAATACGTTGCACTAAGAAATATCGACCTTCTGCTACAGAAGGAGCCTGACATTCTCAACAAAGAACTCCGCGTTTTCTTCTGCAAATACAATGACCCGCAATATGTAAAGTTCCAGAAACTTGAGATTCTGGTGCGCATAGCCAACGACCGCAATGTGGACCAGCTCCTGGCCGAATTGAAGGAGTATGCCCTTGAAGTCGATATGGACTTTGTCCGCCGAGCCGTCAGAGCAATCGGCCAGGTTGCCATTAAGATTGAGAGCGCTAGCGAGCGCTGTGTTAACACGTTGTTGGATCTCATCAATACTAAAGTGAACTACGTCGTCCAGGAAGCTATTGTTGTCATCAAGGACATTTTCCGGAAATACCCTGGCTACGAAGGTATTATCCCCACTCTCTGCCAGTGCATTGATGAGCTGGATGAGCCCAATGCTAGAGCGGCAATCATCTGGATTGTCGGAGAGTATGCCGAGAAAATTAGCAACGCAGGGGATATCTTGGCTGGCTTTGTGGATGGTTTCAACGAAGAATTTTCTTCGGTTTGTTCTTCCCTCCACTTACATACCACCGTCTTAGCTAACTTCTTATCAAAGACCCAATTGCAAATCCTCACATCTGTAGTTAAACTCTTCCTCAAACGGCCCGAGAAGGCACAGGGCCTGGTGCAGCGGGTACTTCAGGCTGCCACATCCGAGAACGACAACCCAGATGTCCGTGACCGAGCATATATCTACTGGCGTCTTCTGTCCAACACCAGCGATTCAAACGCAACCAAGAACATCGTACTCTCAGACAAGCCTCCCATCGTCACCACTATTCACTCTTTGCCACCTGCGCTTCTCGACCAACTCCTTTCCGAACTGTCAACTCTCTCTTCCGTTTACCACAAGCCCCCCGAGCAGTTTGTCGGCCACGGCCGATTCGGCGCCGATGCCGTTATGCGCGCTGCTATCGAGTACGTATTCAATCTCTTGTGTTCGTCGAACACGTTGCTTACAAATCCACAGGGAACAAATTCAGAATGCGCGCGAGAACCCATTGGCTGCAGCTGCCGCCGCTGCCGCTGGCGGTACCACAGCCCCTACGCAGGCGCAAAACAACGTCGAGAACCTGCTGGACATCGATTTCGACGGCGGTGCTCCTGCCTCCGCACATACCGAGCCTTCCGGCGGCATTTCCGGTCTGGAGGGTCTGGCTGGCACTCCCGTACGGATAGCGTCTCCTGCAGCTGGTAAACCGACTGTCCAAACAAGCAACAACCTGGACGATCTCTTGGGCGTTTTCGGAGACCCCGGTGCCGCCCAGCCCTCATCAAGCGGTGCCAACAGCGGTGATCTCATGAACGGACTCTCTGGTCTTGATCTCTCCGGGAATGCGGGCCCTTCTCCAAATAACCAGTCTAAGAAATCCAACGACGACATCTTGTCGCTCTTCTAGAGCAATGGCATTGATGGTACAGCCAAGCGTGTCTAGCCGACCCTAGCGGCTGATGTTGTATCCAGGAGTTTTCGCAAGCGTGAATCTGTATTGCACGAGATAGATTAGTGTTTTCTTTTACTTGTTTAATTTGCTTGCATCTCTACCTAAACGAACTTCGAAAGGCCTGTACAATTTGCCTCGAATATCAAATTCTTATATTGTGGCGTTTTTGAACATAGATTCTGCATGATTTAACAATACAGCCTAGTATTGGGATGTAAGGTTTGATGTACATCAGACGAGAAACATCTACGGAGTGCAACACACCTACCACTTAGCTCTACGTTGCAAAAATTCAGAGGCCGAAAGGCTCAAATGCCGATGAGATGCAAATAGACTTCCGATTTTTCTCGGCCGATGTGAGCCATGGCTCCACAGAAAAAGACAGAAAAAAAGACAGAAAAAAGTCAGAAAAAAGCCCTTGAACTGACGAATCTCTATAGGCTCCGTACATCGTTAAATAGTTGATTCAAGAAGAAGACGGCTTTTCCCATATTGTAGGTGTGAGATGTGCTCAGGAAACCCAACTTCCCTCTACCACCTATTCCTTGCTCCAACTAGATGAGCAACACACTCTCTATCGGCTCTCACATCAGAAATCCACATCTCGAATACGGACCCATTGACGAACATCGCTTACAAATTATTCATCAAACCGAAGTTTCCAGTCCGAGAATGTGCAAAACCGAGTGGGACTCCGGACATGTCCCGTGTCTAAGATTCGGATATAAATGGGGCAAACCCCCAGGAATGAATTGTCCAGTGAAGATTTCCGATAATCTACAAAATGGCGCAAACAGACTACAAGTTCGAAGGCTGGATGGGTCTCGATCCCAATTCCGGCGAGGGCAAGATGGTCTGGCAAGAATTCCAGCCGAAAGAGTGGGAGGAGACCGACATTGATATCAAAGTCTCTCACTGCGGCATCTGTGGTTCTGATTTACACACTCTCCGGAGTGGCTGGGTATGTTATCCATTTTCCATATCAGCGAGATCTACATATGGGAGAGCTCGCTGACATACTTTGCACCATGATTGTCCAACATCTCTCTGTACGGGGAAAAAAAATGAAGAAAAACTAAATGTTCGCCACAGAGACCCACCGCCTACCCCTGCTGCGTTGGCCACGAGATTGTCGGCACGGTCGTGCGCGTTGGTAGTGAAGTATCTGACATCAAGGTCGGTGACCGCGTCGGAGTCGGCGCACAGAGCGAGTCCTGTCTCGGCCGTCAAGGTGACTGTGAGGAGTGCGCCTCAGGCAAGGAGAACTACTGCAGTAAGAAGGTCGTCGGCACGTACAACAGCATCCACTACAATGGCAGTAAGTCCTACGGCGGATATGCGCGGTACAACCGGGTTCCCGGCCATTTTGCCATCAAGATCCCCGATGCTATCACGTCGGCGGATGCTGCGCCTATGCTGTGCGGCGGCGCTACCCTCTACAGCCCGCTGAAGCATAACGGCTGTGGTCCTGGCAAGCGTGTGGGCATTATTGGTGTTGGAGGACTAGGTCACTTTGGCGTGCTGTTTGCCAAGGCCATGGGGGCTGATAAGGTTGTTGCTATCTCGCGGAAGTTGGGGAAGAAGGAGGATTCGCTGAAGATGGGGGCAGACCTTTACATTGCGACCGATGACGAGCCGGAGTGGGCTACAGCTCACGCGAGGTCTTTGGATTTGATCGTTTCCACGGTCTCGTCTACTAAGATGCCTTTTAATGATTATCTGGGTCTGCTGAAGACCGGCGGGTCTTTTGTGCAGGTTGGCCTTCCCGAGGATGGTGGACTCTTTGCTCCTGTACGAAGCTTGATGCGCCAGATCAAGCTGCAGAGCTCCCTCGTCGGTAGCCCTGATGAGATACGGGAGATGTTCCAGCTTGTTGCTGAAAAGGGAATCCGCCCGTGGGTGGAGGAGATCCCGATGAAGGATGCGAATAAGGCGATTGTGGACATGGAGGATGGAAAGGCCCGGTACAGATACGTGCTGGTGAACGAGTAAAAGCCTGTAACTAAAATGACTAGAAGATGATTGAAATATAGAGATGAGCCCATGAATGAAGTCGAAAGTCGAAAGATTGAACGGAGTAGTTGGACTATATACACGTGAGAGCCAATCAAACCACGCACGTGAACGCCGTTCTCGGAGGCACTAATCCACTTTGGGACACTCGGATTCCCCCCCGCGGTGGGATGAATCATTCCGCCTCTTCTTCTCTACTTCGGCTTCAAGGAATTCCTGTTGATTCAATTGACGGTCACACTATGTCTCCTACACTCTCACAACAATATCTAAGTACTCGCGGTGCTGAGTACGGGGTGAGTTGAAAAATAACTGTTCTAAATTTCATCTCAAACATGCTACTAACCCATCTGTCTCTCCAGAGAACCTTTGAAGATGTTGTTCTTCAAGGCCTGGCCTCGGACGGAGGTCTCTTCATCCCGGAGGAAATGCCTGCCCTCCCTAAATCGTGGGAGACCGAATGGCGCGATCTGAGCTTTGAGGATTTGGCGCTTGAAATCATGTCTCTCTACATCTCCACCGACGAGATTCCCCGAGAAGACCTTAAGAGCATCATCTACAAGTCCTACTCGACCTTCCGCCACCCCGAACGCACCCCTTCTGTCCTCCTTGAAAAGAACCTCTACCTGCTAGAGCTATTCCACGGCCCGACCTTTGCGTTCAAGGATGTTGCTCTTAGTTTCCTCGGAAATCTGTTCGAGTATTTCCTTGTTCGCAAGAATGCTGGAAAGACTGGCAAGGACCGACACCACCTCACTGTTGTTGGTGCTACTAGCGGTGACACTGGTTCAGCTGCTATTTATGGACTTCGCGGCAAGAAGGATGTCTCCGTATTCATCCTCTTCCCCGATGGGGGCCGAGTCTCGCCTATCCAAGAAAAGCAAATGACAACTATCTTGGACCCTAATGTGCACAATCTCACCGTGGCTGGCTCATTCGATCACTGCCAGGATATCGTCAAAGCGCTCTTCGCAGATGATGACCTGAACTCCACCCACAATATCGCCGCGGTCAACAGCATTAATATGGCCCGAATCTTGGCCCAGATCACCTACTTCTTCTACTCCTACTTCTCCCTCACCAAGATTCCTTCTTTCAACAAGGACTCCAAGGTGCGCGTGGTCGTCCCGTCCGGCAACTTCGGCGACATCCTCGCCGGTTGGTTTGCCAAGCAGATGGGCCTCCCTATCGACAAACTGGTGATCGCCACTAACGCAAACGACATCCTCGACCGCTTCTTCCGCAGTGGTGGTCACTACACAAAGAAGGCCCTCGACGCCCCCACCGACCACGGTGTGAAGGAAACCCACAGCCCCGCCATGGACATTCTCGTCAGTAGCAACTTCGAGCGTCTCCTCTGGTTCCTCTCCTACAAGACTACCAAGGGTACTGAAGTCGAGCGCCGCAAGCACGCCTGCGAGAGTGTCAGTGGATGGCTGAATGAGCTCAAGACGAACGGAGGCTTCCAGGTCCCCAGTACCGTCCTCGAAGCCGCCAAGGTCGATTTCGAGAGCGAGCGCGTGAGCAACGAGGAGACTATCGCTATGATCCGTGATATCTACAAGACTTCCTTCCCCAAGGGTCTCGGTCCCGGCTCCGCTAAGAGCTCCAAGACCGGTGGTTACATTCTTGACCCCCACACTGCTGTTGGTGTTGCTGCTACCCGCCGCTCTCTGGCACGTAACCCCGATGCTACCCATATCTCGCTGTCTACTGCCCACCCGGCTAAGTTTGCTAGCGCTGTCGACCTTGCTCTGCGCTCCGAGGATGGCTATGACTTCACCGAGATCTTGCCCCAGGAGTTCGTTGGTCTGGAGCAGCGTGAGAGTCGGGTTACCCCCGTCGGGGAGAGTGCTGGATGGCAGGGTGTTAAGGAGATTGTTAAGGCGGAGCTTGAACAGGAGTTGCAGGGTCTGCGATAAATCCGGGACCTAGCAAGCGAAACAAAATGCGTCATTGAACATATTGATTTGGTGAGATTTAATGGGCAGGGTGGAGCATGTGCATGAACCTTTTGGATCCCTTTCACTGTTTTCTCTCTTCTGTCTCAATCTATGTCTGTTTTTGTGTATTAAACCCTCGAATATGAAGATCTCTCCCCCTTTTGATACTGAAGTCGCCATGAACAGGTCTGAGGGGAAAAAAAAGAAAAAAAGACCACGGATAAGCATGTGATCGGCATATCCTTCTTAAAAAATGCAATGTTGTCGTTGATAAAGACAAGCATTCATATTACGTGAGACAACTACGGGGACGGTCACACGTGAGGGACCTCGGGAGGAACCTTCCGGAGGGAGCCGAACCCACAACGGCGAAGCTAACCAGAAAAGGAAAGTGATCCTGTCTAAATCCAACAGTAACTGTCTTACGGAGTGCTCAACAACAGAAAGCCCAGTTGATCCCTTGGCAAGTGCAGTCAAGTGGCCTCTTATACTTCTCGGAGCTCTACCGGTTTGTTTGGATACTCTCCAAATTTCAGTATGCTGTGTGGGACAATTGATGCAACTCAGTATGAACACGTGTACTGTGCTCTGTGGCCTATAGTTCTACGTCCCCACCAAATCGTTTTCATTTCCTAATTTTTCATCGTCTTTCAACATGACAAAAGAGTCTAAGCTTCTTACTGTTATTGGAGCGACGGGCATCCAGGGAGGGTCAGTAATTGCTGCTGCTCTGAAGTCTGGTGACTGGAGGATCCGCGGAGTGACTCGCAATGTCAACAGTGACGCATCCAAGGCATTGGCTTCGAAAGGAGTCGAAATGGTGCTTGCAGATTGGAACGATGAGAAAACCTTAGTGAAGGCATTCGAGGTGACCTTCTTGTTACGCTTAAAAGAAATATAGCTAACTTGGGAAAGGGGTCATATGCCATTTACGCCGTTACTGATTACTGGGCTGGTTTCATGACCCAGAGCGTCGAAGGACTGATTGACATTGAAGCTAGGCAAGGAATCAACCTTGCTAAAGCAGCTTCTCAGATTTCCTCCCTGAAGCATTTCATCTGGAGTACTGTTCCCGACAACGTGAAGATTTCGGGCGGCAAACATTCTATACCTCACTTTGAGGGAAAACTCAAGGTCGATGAATTTATCAGACAAGATCGAGATCTACTCAGCAAGACCACCTTCCTTTGGGTCGGGTACTACGGGACCAACATCATTCTGCCTATGATCGTCCCAAATCTTCTCGTTAGTTTTCCATCCTCGACCCCCGAAATTAATGGGCTGATGTGATGGAGAAAACTTGCGGGAAATACATCCAGCTATTCCCAGTCTCAGATGACACACCCATCACGACAGTCGGCGACCCCAGGGTCAACACGGGCATCTACGCACTCGCCATCTTCAACCAACCTCAGCTCACAATTGGCAGGATTGTTCTGGCGCAGTCTGAGACCAAAACAACCCGCGAAATTATCAATCTGTGGTCCCAGGTTTCAGGAAAGCCTGCTGATTATATTCAAGTATCACTTGATCACTATGACAATCTATGGCCCAAGTGGGGACGAGAGATTGGTCTCATGTTGCAATTCTGGGAGACGGTTCGTGAGAAGAGCTGGACCGCCGATGAACCTGTTCTAACAAAGGAACACTTGAACATTTCTGGGTTGATTGAGATGAAGGAGATTTTTAGTTCTCTTGAGTGGTCTTGAATATTGTATGCTTCCAAGGAGTCAAGACATTCCTGTCTCAGTCACTTCAGACGATTTGAAAGGTACCGGCGTGCCTATCACTCGAGAAGAAAGGGACCTAGTATCCAACACTAATCATGGAATCCGCCAGTGATTCAGCGACATTGGTAGCTTCTTCTGGTTGGACTGTTTCGGGATGTTGTGCAATCACCATAGCCTCGTTCATCTTGGCTACGATCACACCTTGCTCTCCTCCCTACGACACTAAATTTGTGATGGCGAGATAAAAACAAGCACGTGGTGGCTCGAACCTACATTCCTGCCATAGATGCGCTGATCGTCTGCCTTTATAGCCAAAGATTTATGTCCTCTGATGTCGAATCCTGCCGAAAGTGAACGTAGAACGAAATAAGTGTTGGCAAGACTTGATCCTGCCCGATCTGTACAAAACCATATCAGTAGCCCATACTCTCAGATGGCAGATTCGGCAAACAGTGCGTTTAGCCGATGTAGAGAGGGTAGAGGCTACCGGATGTCAAGTACATTCTGATTAAAGAGATTTCCCGCACTAGATCATGATTGTTTCTCCCCTTTTGTAGAAACTAATATCCTATGCTAGTCAAGTAGTTTGCCAATTGTCCAACAATACTTGCAGCTTCTCTTGGTTGCACTGTTTCGGGATAATGTGCGATGACTATTGATTGTGATGATCTCACCACACAAACTCCCTCTTTGCCCTAATCCTCGAACGATTTAACAAGCTATTGCCAAAAGATTGCAATTAAAACATCTTACCTTCTCTGCAAATATGCTCTGATCATCTGCTTTCGTGACCATAAGCTTTTCCCCTGCGACATAGAGTCCACCGGAGTAGAGAGGGATTGAATCCTCGAAGCCTCTCAAAATACACTGGACCTCTCCTTGTTGAACCTATTGGAGGGTCGTTTTAGCCGCAGCTTCAAAGAGTGATCGTCGAAAACCTTACATTGAACCCTGCGCTGGTGGCAAGTAGGGCATCGCCTGCTGCTGAGAATATAGCGGCTTTGTCGATTTTTGTAGATCCCACCAGGGTTTGATCGACCCAGCCTACAGCAACATTAGACTTGAGGGGCTTGTTTAGGCCAGTCTGCATACCTTGCCAGCTCATCTTGGTAGTAAATTGATAGTGATAAATAGGAGCTAAGTCGGGGAAAACAGAGGTGGGACTTGGTGGCTTGAGGGGTAATTCCACTTTATAAAAGGGTAAATGAGCCAATGACACACTCTGACCGTCAGATTTGATCTTCACCTACATTGCGTTCGATTGCAAGACTTAGGGCTAATGAGAGACGTCACTGAGAATTCATTCTAACACAGAACAAAATGGACTTTTGATTCAATGCAAGTACTTTTCTAAGAGAAATCAGATCTTGAAACATACACGGAGCGAAAGAGTCCAAAATCCAAACAACAGAAACGACATATTACTATTAGAATATTTAAAACAAATTTGATAACGACAAAAAATTCTCGAAATAACCAAGCAGCCGTTGGTCTTGAATTCTCCGGCCCTGTTAAAAGCACAAAAGGAAATTCCAAGCGGGGCATAGGCCAGACATTCTCAAAAGATACTCAAGATGCCCATGAGGTCTCTCTGATCCGCACCACAAGGGCCAAAGAGATCATGAACCGAGAGGAATCCAGATCTCAATCAAGAGATGGATCGGCCGTGCTCAACTGATTTACAGGAGAGCCATGAGACCAACAACACCGGCAAGGAGGCCAGCAACGGGCTTAACGTTGGAGGCAGCACCGGTGAAGTCGCCGGAGGAGGCGGTGGAGCTGTGCTCCTCAGGGGTAGAGGGCGTCTCAGGGGTCTCCGGGGGTGGAGGGGGTAGAGGTGCCAGAGGGGGGGAGCAGCGGGCTGGGTCTCAG